AACATATCTGGACAATCTTAATGAGACTGAAAAATGTTATTAGCATTGTCTGTAAAATGTGAGGCAATGGGGTTGTCTTGAGGCTAAAGCCTTTCCTTGTCACGCCAAAGGTCTTGCTTCATTCCTTGAACTGGTACTATGTGTGAAGACCATTCCTAGTGTCCCGTAAAGTATGATATTGCTTGAGTATCACCAAAACAAGTAAAAAAAACATTCTCACTTGCACTTTAATATGTGAAAGATGAATATATCTGATCATGGCACTGCCTTCAGGAACTCTGTCTACTTCATGTCAATATTGTCAGGCTTTCATGTGTTGATATTTGTTGACTTTCTTTGAGAACAGGGGTTTACCTTGGTCTACCCATAAGTCACAGGGCTGTTGGTGATGTATATTGGGGTCAAAAACATAAACATAGGGCTGGCAACATTTGTAACATTTGTGGCTCAGAACCAGTATGCCTAACTTATGCCACAAAACATTTGTTAAGGTCCACACCTTTGACTTAAGCATATGTTGATCAGTATAGTCGGGATTTCATAAATCAAACCTGGACACATTTGAACTACAGTTGTAGTTCTTAGCAGAAAAGACTAGTAAGTTCAATGAAGCAATCAAGAACTTTGAATGAATAGTGTAAATGCATCTCACTAACTTGCAATGTAAATTAATTGTATCCATTTTCAATTTGTGTTCATATAGAATGCAATGTTTTGTGTCTAGTTTCTAGAATAATGAACATATTCTACTTCAGAGCAGGGACAAAAATAAATAAACATAAATGAAATCCCCAGGTTTCATTATGTGACTGTAAATAGTGGCTGTGTCACTGTCAGATCAGAAGTAAATAATACATCAATTTGTAATTAATGTGACTTTTTTCCTTTAAATCCCCAATTCAGAATTTTTTTAAACAAATATCATGGAATGCAAATAGATCTTTGATATATCAAAATACCCAAGCTTAATTATTTTTTTAAACTTGAAATTTTTTACGATTCACATGTTTAGCAGTTATGTTGGAAATATTGGGATTTTATCATTGATTGTTGGCCACATAAGTTTACTTAAAAATATAAATCATATAAATATTAATTATCTGTATTTTCTCATCAATTTTTGTCCAAAAAGTTTGTTTCAAAATATTACAACCTTAATCTGATTATTTCATACATGACAAATCAAAGGAATTAATGAATATAATATGAACAAACATGAAACACAAATGGCAGTTATTTGGCACTTACAACCAATATTTCATTGACCATAATTCATCACAGAAACATCACTGTTCATAGTGATGATCATATTTCATCTGTCCATCTAATCAGAATGCTTAACACCATGTGCACATTGTTAAAAATTCTAATCAATCTGCACAATGAAAAGACATGCTGAAATCATAACCATGTTCAGGAAGTTACGCTTACTGTCTGGTTTCCAATAGAGAGAGACTTTATTCAGTATTGGAGACCGCATGGCCCAGAGTACAAATACACTTATTGTCAGCAGGGCAACAGATAAGGGGCGTACAGGCGTAATGTACGCCTAAAAATCAATGAAGTACGACATAATATAACATTTCAAGCGTATCATGTACGCACATAAATACCTTTGTAAGTCTTACATATATAAAGTTTCATAGCTGAAAAGTTGTTTAATATTAAAAATAAAAAAAAACCAAATCACCAACTCGCTCCCACAAAAACATGTCAGTACTCCTTCAAAATTCTCAGTACCCCTCCACTTGCAATGTGAGGTGTAAGTACACCCGCACCCCCAAAAGTTATCTCGAGCCCTGGTCAGGTTTCATAAGTAATTGTTTGGCAGGGGAGAGCAATGCTAGTTCTGCAAACAATAAAAACATCCTTGAGACATGCTTTAGAAATAACTTAAAAGATATTATCAGCGTTCGAAATTAACCTTCCTGACCAACTGCCCAGGACGGGTTATTTTCAGCACGGACTGCCAGATTCTCAATTTCACCTGCCCGACGGTCGGCTTAAAATTTAGACATGAATATGAAGATATTCATCATATCTCCGGATAATAAATCATTATTTATTCACTAATAAAAATATATGATGAATTCCAATTGGATGACAAGTTTTAGTCAGGGCTGGCAAGTTTTACATCTAACCAGCCCTTGCGGTCTGGCTGAAATTTTTCGGAGTTTAATTATAACCCTGATATTATTTGAAATTCTAACAATACATTCCCCATTTGAAATTAATGCACTGGTTGCTTATTGATGACAATGAATATGAGTGTACCTGGTTATACATGTTAAAGATATGATTGATGCATTTTACTAAAATATGATATCAACACCACCCTCTTCCCCAAAAGTATCATATTGCAGGGGTGGAAATAACTTTAAAATTGCTAATGTACTCCGGTAAAATCACTTGCCCTGATAATTTGTCCACTATACTGTCTGATTTTCTTGTTGATTTTTAAATAAGCAACATAATTAACATTGGAAAGTCAACTGGACACCGGTACAGCGTGACATACAAATTTGCTAGCCCAACAGAAAAAAGCACTGGACTGGGGCGTCGGGCAATGGGTTATTTCCACCCCTGTATTGAGTAAGGATACTTTTAGCTTGATAATGGTGTAAGAATCTACACCAAAACGTCGTTCTATGCAGTAAACAAGATGTTATCCATAAAGTCATATGCTTCATTACAGACTGCCAAATTTCTAGAATGCCAATAAAACAATGAGTGTAGACAATACAATCAGATTGAAAGAGGATATCTGATCAAATCCTCACTCAAACTGAATAAGTGAGTCAGTCTCACAGTTCCTGAACCGCATTATTTTCGCTACTAACTAGCCCTTCCTGCAGTGCTAAAGCCCTAAATGAAGCAAGTCTAGATTTCTTCAGGTTCTGAATCTCCTAACCCACTGGGGTTCTTTTTAATTTAAATAGGATTATTTGTTGCTATCAAAATTATATATATTCAGAGATTCAGCATTTCTCCATGAATGAGTTAGTATAGTTTTACCAATATTCCAGCAATGTCATGGCAAGGCACACCAGAAATAGGTTCCACACATTGTACCCATTTAGGGAATCGAGCCAGGTCTTTGGTGTGTCAAGTGAACATGAAAACCACAAGGCCACCCTCCCTTCCTTCATTACTCATAACGACCGCCTCCGTGGTGTAGTGGTTAGAGCGTCCGCCCGGAGAGCGGAAGGTCGCGGGTTCGATCCCTGACCGTGTCATACCAACAGATTAAAATATGGTACTTGCTGGTACCTGCCTGGCGCTCGGCATTAATGGGTACAACAAGGACTGGTCGGGTCGGAGTCAGTATAATGTGTCTGGGTGGAGTATTCATGCTTCACTGCGGCATGGTATCTCAGTGGGCTAGCACTATAAAACCAGCTTCAGTCTGGGCTAGTACAAGCAACCGCACATACACATACACACGCATGCACGTCGTCATAGGAGCGAAATATTCTCAAGCACGACGTAAAACCCAATTTCACCTCACCTCACCTCACCTCATTACTCATAACCTACTGCGGGATCTTCTTACTGATTATGCATGCACTTTTTTACTCACAGAGAAAGACAAGAACAGTGTCTGAGTGATGATGTCAATATGATCAGCTGAATATTGTGGACTGGTCACAGACAGCTTATGAAATCAATTCTTGTTTCAAAGGCTAAGGCCAGTAAACATTTTTTTAAGCTAAATCATACACTGTATGAAATTAATTATCAAAAGATGAACATTCAACAAGTACATTCAGCCTTGGAAAATGTGAATGTTGTTAGTCCCTAAGCTCTGCCTGAACTCATATGTAAATTTATGCAAGGATTTTGAGGTGATATCTTAGTGTTGGAGAGGTTTAAAAAATCATGAAAGAGTACTTGTCATCACTGTGACTCAGTAATGACAGAAATTGAGTTAACGTTTGTAAAAAATGTTTGTTGTTTAAAGCCGCACTCAGCATATTCCGGCTATATGGTTGCACTCAGTGACTATGTTTATAATTGAATCCCGGACCAGACAATCCAGTGGTCAACAGCATGAGCATCGATCTACACCACTGGGATATGATGACATACATGATATCAAGCCTGACCACCCAATCCACTCAGTCGTCTCTTAGGACAAGCATGAGTGTCTGAAGACCAATTCTAACCCAGACCTTTATAAGGCAATAAGATTAGAGTGAATGATATACTGTATGTAATACAAGGCATTACTTATGGACACATATTATTTTTTTAATTTTATCAAGCTTGGCACGAACAGTATTGTACCCATCATGATTTTAATATATATATTCAAATGGCATGTTACAGAACTTTCAGTACTACCATGATTTAATACAATTTAAGTGTTTCAATAATATATTCTTCATCAAAATCTTAAAGAGAAATACAATGAAGACATAACACTCTCTATCTGAAAATCATGATGTCTACAGTATATATGTAGATGTCACAATGCTGACCTCACTGTGTAAAATCCAAAATATAGGACCAGTCTGGGATTACACCCACACGAAACACATGTAATTAAAGATTCTTCTTAAAAAATAAACACAAAAGAAAAATTTACCAGACACAAACTCAATTCAGACAGTGATTAATATGCGTTCAACAGATATCAATATTGGGTCTGGTTCCTGTGAGTGCCAAGGCCATGGTCTCCATAAGTAATTATTATGATAATTTATGAAATCTCAAAATTTTCCAGCTGTCACCACAGAATATCAGTTTTAGGCTTGGTGGCATCTTAAATCTCAACAATATCTGTTCATAAAATGACAATGGGGTCGTTGGAAAGTATGCGAGAGGCTGCTAACGAAATCGTCTGCGATTTTGACAGCGTCATGTGACTGACTGACTGCCTATCTGTACTGTATCATTGTTTGAACGGGATAATTTCCTGTACACTGGATAAAGATAGATAGTAAAAACATTCAATGACAACAAAATCGCCTTACGATAGTCTTCGTAAGTCCTCTCACCTTAAAATGCCAAAGATGATCCTATAATGCCATAATTTTGTTACGATCACAATATTTCGTCTGCAAATGTCAAGAGCAGGTTATTTTCAGCCATTTCTGCGGTACTGCAGTGTTATTGGTTGACGGGCACCTGCTGTACTAATGGGAATACAACTAACTACAGTTATAAACAAAAAGTAATACTACGAAAACTTATTGTTTCTTTTCAGTTGTTATATAGTTTTATTTTCGACAACTCCTTGAAGCATTGCGTATAAATCAAAATGGTTAAAGAGATGTGGTTCAAGATAACGACCTTAATAAACAAAACACCAAATGTTTTCTATCTCAACTAGGATATAGCGTAAAGAAACACTATAACAGAAACAACGCCTTTTCATTCGACAGGTGTCTGTGACGTCGTAAAAATTATAAATTTTGCGCGGCACCATTTTCGTGTCATTCGAGAGTTCGCGGGCGGTAGGGAAGGCAGTCTCTACCAAGCGCTAACCCTGACTTTCAATATATCTCCTCGTTGTATTGCTTGTTTTTTTATGGTAGGGTTTCAGGCAATAGTGGAGAGTTTAAATAACTAAAGAACCCTACTCTGAGCGTTCTCTCGAATGATATGCATGCGCACAACATTAAGTAAGGATACCATCTATTTTCAGTTGGCCATATTAGGCCACCCTCGGTCCGGCCAGTGTCTCCTTGTCGGGTTCTTTCCAGCTGAGTTCGTCCCAGCGGCAGTTCCTCGGGAGATGTCAATGTAATGGAAGTAGGTGTGTCCTATGTTCAGATTAAACTGCCAACATATGTACGCGGGCACATAAGATGTTGTGTTCGACGAAAGTGCTGGCAAACATTTTGTCAGTTTTAGTAAAAAAAAACCCACACGTTTACACACGTACATTCCAGCTACTGTTCGCACTTGTGTTTTCCCTACAGCATACGAGAGCTTTCATTTATAAGTACTGTTGATTACAAGTACAAATAAGCAGTTGAAGATTGATTAATATCTCTAGCTGTAGTGTTGGGTGGCTATGTTTGATGTGTGGAGTTTGAACATTTTATGACCCATTCGCTGCTGAACTGTCTACAGTACAGCTTAAAGGAATTATGAAAACTGATTAAATTATATTTTCTTTCGTTCTAAACTTATCAGCTCTTCAAAATATGTATCCCAAGCAACTCTACTGATGTAGATGATTACAGTGAAAAACAGTATTGTCACATCTGCATGTAAATACTGTTGCAGAACCACCGAGACCTTTATAAGGACTCCACACAATCACTGTTAAAAAAGACACCTTGAAACTCAGGGGTGGATACAGCTTTTTGAGAAAGGAGGGTGCACACTTCAATTTCAATGGTCATTTAATAAACTACAAGGACAAAAGAGGGGATGCGACAGCCCCTTTCAATAGTTCAGACTGCTCTCTTTTCACATGTGAGTGAAGGAATGTGTAGTGAGTGGTGTTGGTTTCCTGTTCATGGGAACGCCTCCGTGGTGTAGTGGTTAGAGCGTCCGCCTGGAGAGCGGAAGGTCGCGGGTTCAATACCTGACCTCGTCATACCAAAAGACGTTAAAATATGGTACTTGTTGGTCCTTGCCTGGCGCTCGGCATTAATGGGTACAACAAGGACTGGTTGGCTCGGAGTCAGTATAATGTGTCTGAGTTGGGGTATTCATGCTTCACTGCAGCATGGTATCTCAGTGAGCTAGCACTATAAAACCAGCTTTAGTCTGGGCTAGTACAAGCAGCCGCACATACACACACACACACACACACACACACACATATGCATGCACATCATCATATGAGCAAAATATTCTCAAGCACGACGTTAAACCTAATTTCACCTCACCTCTTCAATCAATCATCACACAACCTTTACAAAGACAAACATTGATGGAATTTGTTTTTATTTGTTATAAAACTGAAAACAATATCAAAAGAAAAAGTAACATGGTTTTCTTCCATAAAACAACAGTCAACAATGTGCCATTGGCTGTGAGTCCTTCCCGAACTTGTATAACTTCACCTGAGCTAAACACAGAATCTTGTCAATAAATATTAACAATTTGTAAAAGTCTCAACACTAAGACTTAAAAATCAAAACTAAAATCATATGGTCCAACACATAACTGATTTTGGAACAATTAACAAAAGCAATAAAAATGTACTTGTTACAAAAGAAATCTTCAAAAGTAAATATACCTCTGTTCACACTAATTACGCTGATTTACCACTTAACAGATTTCAGGAATTGTGTGCTGATGTTTTTCAAAGTCGTTTACAAATGCAAATCATATGTTTCTTGTTCAAGACATATGTAAAAAGATCTTAAACATTATAATTTTGTTAATTTTTACAGCATAAATAAATTAAACAGTTACACTGATGTTTTCACATTTCAAAACATAAAATGTTATTTTAAATACTTAAATACTCATGGATTAACAGCTAACTGGTATTCTTCAATCAATCATCACACAACATTTACAAAGAAGATAAAGATTGATGGAATTTGTTTTATTTGTTATAAAACTGAAAACAATATCAAAAGAAGATCAACATGCTTTATATTCTTCTATAAAATAACAGTCAACAATGTGCCATGGGCTGTGAGTTCTTTTTGAACTTGTTTAACTTCACCTGAGCTGAACACAGAATCTTGTCAATAAATATTAACAATATGTAGAAATCTCAACACTAAGACTTCGAAATCAAAACAAAAATCATATGGTCCAACATAACTGATTTTGGAACAATTAACAAAAGCAAAAAAAAATGTATTTGTTAAAAAAGAAATCTTCAAAAGTAAATACACCTCTGTTTATACACTAATTATGCTGATTTACCACTTAACAGATTTCAGGGATTGGGTGATGTTTTTCAAAGTCGTTTACAAACACAAATCAAATGTTTCTTGTTCAAGGCATACATAAAACATCTTAAACATTTTAACTTTTGTTAATTTTTACAGCATGAATATGTGAAGCCCATTTCTGGTGTCCCCCGCCGTGATGTTGCTGGAATATTGCTAAAAGCGGCGTAAAACCAAACTCAGTCAGTCAGTACAGCATGAATAAATTAAACAGTTACATAGATGTTTTCACAATGCAAAACAAAATGTTATTTTAAATACTTGACGAACTCAAAACTTGTCATATAAATGTTCATTCCTAACGAGGATACGAAAGTTAGCCTCTTAAACACAATCTTACTCTTTAAGATCAAGGGGATCTGAATCCTTGAATGACCACAGTAGATCTGTGAGTTGGTGTGTTGGGCTCATCTAGCATAAAGTCATCATCATCACTATCAACCTTGTCATCGGTCGATTGGACAGGAATGTTGAAATCTAAATCCAATTCACCATCACTTACATCCTGTTCCGTTTCCTTATGTAAAACCTTTTCTTTTTGGCTATTTTGACTGGATGGTTTGACAAATGTATTTTCACTGTTTATGTCTGTCATACATTTCTTATCTTCAGTATTCTCCTTATCCCCAGATTTTTTGTCAGAACATGAAGTGTTAGAAATGTTTTCTTTTGCAGCATGTACTGGATTGATGAATTTAGGTTTCTTTTTCTTGGTTGTCTTGTCTTGTCTAATATTGGTCTTCAGTTCCGAGTCCTTATTCTGTTTTTGTTCACGTTCTGTCTTGATTGCAGGTGTATTGTCCTCCTTTTCTTCATGAGATTTGTTCTTCATCTTCATTTTATTAAAGCCGCACATCCCAAGAACAGAACTTTTAGGTTTCCCATCACCTCCACAAGACTTCAGTGACTTGTCAGATTTCTTTCCTTTCATTTTGTCCTGCATTTTTCCTTTAACAACATTGTCTTCCTCTGGTTTTCTGTTACTAGAATCTCCTGTCTTTTGTTCTTTTTTAGTCTTCTTTTTGCTCTTTTCTAGATTTACTTCAGGATACACATTTGCTGTTCCATTTCCCTTGTTTTTCTTTTTCTTTTTGCTCATTTCTTCCTTCACACAGACATCATATTCTCCTGAAGTTTTAGTCTTTTTAGGTTTGTCTTGTTTCTTATCCTTCTCCTCAGCTGATTTCTTCTTCTGAGACTTCTTCTTCTTACCTGCTGAATTTGTGTCCAGCGTTTCTGCTGCCCCTGTTTCATCGATATTTCCAGTAATGACACAGTCTGGCAAAGCCACATTTTCACCAGTGCTGCAGCAACCATCCCCTTGAACATCAGTATTCAGTTGGTCTTGTGATTCAAGTTGCACAGAACCTAACTCCATGGTAAATATGTCCATGTCTAGCTTGGCAACTTCGAACTTGGCAGCTTCCTTCATACTCTCTGAATCTACACATCTGGCATCAGAAACTACAAAGGAAGCAGAATACATCGTATGTTAGGTGTTTGTAGTTCCAGTAGGGGTACAATGAATACATGTTTTATGACTATATAGCAACAAATATTTATTTATGAAGACTCTATGTTTAATATAGAGAAAATTTAAAGTAACAAACATGTCAAGTAATTGCTAAAGCAGAAACGTTTAAATGATATTTTCCATAACACACAAAAAAAAGCAATATGTTGCGAACAATCCCGCTTAAAGCCTAATGACAGTGCCACTATAAGTGGCCTTGGCAAAAACAAATGAGTGGCTTGGATATATTCCATTTTCCGTATCTCACTTAAATCAAATACAAAGTAGTTCCAAGTAAAAAACACTCGCATAAAAATTTCCATAAATATTCAACTCTAGTGACCACGAATATGAATCGAGTTCATCAAGGAATACGATTTGATTCAAAGCATATGCGTGTGAATCGTAACTGACATTCTCGTCCTCTGTAGGCTCACTGACAATTGTCAAATTCAGTTGGAAATGGTAATATACAGATTGTAATTATTGAATTTTATCTATCCATGATCTAGACATTAAAGGGATCAATGGTAGTTGTCTGAGGCACCTTTTAGAGATGAAAGGATCTTAATTGTATGTGTTCTCATCTCAGATTCACCCTGAATATGATCACTGCTTTGTCGGCAGAATACCCACGATTGTGCCTTTTACTTGAATGGAAAGAGTCTGAAACTTGCATCACTTTTGAGTTTGATTAGCATACTCCACAGAATCATTAAAACCGTTTCCTATTACCAAAAGGTTTGAAGGAAAGAGGTCCCCGTTTCTTACTGATGAGAAGATAATAGATTTGGAGGGTCTTTGATTGTATGTAATACCAAGCCCCAAATCCCAGGGACACTACCGTCCCCTTAATTTCTGGGCCATATCAAAATTTGTAAAACGAAATCAGGATGATGCAAATTAAACATGAGGTTCAGCTGATGCAGTGACAATAAAGTTACCAAATGAGTTTTTTCGTTTATTTATTTCTCATTTGATTATATGTTAACTGTGCCATAGACAGGACACATTGCTCTGGAACAGCTTGTAAAATTCAAGCAACACCACACATTGCCTTGTGATACAAGGGAGACAACTCCACTCTGCAGAAGATTCAATCTTTTCACAACACAATATTCAATCTTGGCTTCCAGTGTAAGATGGTCCATTCAGTTTTCTGGTATCCTGAATTGTAAGATATCCTAATTTCAAGAATTGATTATCTGCTTACCCTTAAGATCAATATCATCTCTCTCAATCTTTCTTTTCTTAACAGTTGTCTTTGGCTTTGAAACCAGATATTCAGAATCTGAAACAAAATATAAAACTTAAATCAAAACATATTTACATTTTTAATCTCCTGACTGAAAATTTAGTGCATTTGTCTTCACAGTATTGATATTACCATATACTTATCAGAATTTATATCAATGTTACATGTTTGGAAAAGGAACTTACTTCAGTCCTCTTTAGTCATGTTAAGTAGTATTGACACAGACAAACATATAGTTTTTATTTTATACTTTATTTTATTCTCTTTCTATAGCTCTGCATAGTTAGCCTTGTAACTCTCAGTCTAACCTCCAGAAATTGTCACACTGCACACTTTCAACACTCCTTGTTCCATCTCTCAGGCATTTCTATTGTTTCACTGATAGGCCAAGCTGGCCACAGCTTAACTACAATGTAAATATTTTAAACTCACATGCTGTCTTGTGCTTCGGAAGGAAGGTTTTAATTAAAACCATGGGACTTTCGTGACGATTTAAGGTAGGTACATATTGTATAAAATGTTGTATACATGGATAGTTTCTTGTTTATTATAATAAGAAATATAACGTACTGTAGCATGTAAGTCACACTTGATTTAATTGAAATTTAAGATCACTGTGTTATTGTGGGTATATGTAACGTTTAAGTATTAAACGCAATCCTAAACATATATATTGGGCGGTGGGGTAGCCTAGTGGTTTAAAGCGTTGGCTCATCACGACAAAGACCCGGATTCGATTCCCCACATGGGCACAATGTGTGAAGCCCATTTCTGGTTTCCCCTGCCGTGATATTGCTGGAATATTGCTAAAAGCGGCGTAAAACTAAACTCACTCACTCACTATTGTTATTATTATTATTTTTTACATATTAAAGATCAAAATGCAGCAGAGTGGGCACAGTCAGGCTGGTAAGGCTCATCATCAGCTCAGGGCCCTTGCCCCCTCTACACACAGCCCAGACAGCGAATGGGACTTCTCCCAGGAGACGCTGCCTAGTCGAACCCACCAAGAACTTTCCGCAGAATATGAAGGTTCCCCAACCATGCAGCCTTCTGCATTACCCAGAGTGTCAGAAGGGCTGTGCTCCCGGTGGAGAACCCGGGCACTCTCCTGATCTGCGCCAAGAGATCAGGAGGTACCGAACCAAGAGAACAATGGGGAGCCTGACGACAGTGGTGTACTTGGGATGCAAGCGAGACATTTCAAGGCGTGGTTAGCATATTTATCATGCTTTTCCTGAATCTTGCATATCACGTTGCTGTCAAAAAGGACAGAAAATTCAATAATATAAATAAATTCATTGGCTTTATATTTGATTTGTGTAGCTAATGCAATTGGATTTTTAAACCTTATTTTATATGCCACCAGTCAACCGAAGGCTTTTACTGCCATGACACCGAGTTCCCAAACACTGAGGTTGGAGCCTATGTTTATCAAGGAAAATATCAGCTTGTAAAACATTATTGCTACTACATATCATACACCATTTGAAAGGTCTAATCCTACTGTTTATAAATATGAATTTTTTTTGATCATATTATTCACATAATCCAACTACAACTTAAATAAGTTAATTTTTAATGAACGTGCAAGCTTAAAAATTTATAATGTCCAGACAAACCACGAAGGGAGCAAAAAATGCAGCAATTTTTTCCATTTGTAACATGTCATAATATCCCCTTACCTTTTTCTTCTATATTTTCATTTTTACGTAATCAGAAAATTATTTTAAAAAAGATTGCTCAAATAATATGTATGGTCGTCTATTTCCCAATATCAGTGACTTCCCGCTGGGTAACGTGATGCAACAGCTTGAAATACCTCGGTTGTCGAGGCTTCGTATGAATAACATGTGAGGCGATTCGTTTGATGGCGGGTATTGTTTGAAAGCTCTGAACATCAACAGTATCACTGTACCCTTGCCAAGAGTATTTTCACAGTTGTATTTTCACAGTTTCTAATGACGCTTTTTCGCCACAGTCTGATATAAGCATCGTGATTGGTCAAAATCGTACACGTGACCTAAGGCAGCCAATCATATTACAGCAATGGATACCGTCCTCGTAAACGAAACCTAATGATTCAGACGAAAGTTTTGGGTAAAATCACGCTATTCTGAATGTGTTACGCAATAAATCACCACCAATACTTATATTATGGAACTTAGTGGACGTATCGTGCTAGTTTATGACCCGTGACAAAAATGTTTCATGCATAAATTTTGGCATTAAACATCGTGTCTGAGCGTGAAGTTCAAGGCGACGAAAGCCAAGATGTCACTTGAATTACAATACACGATCGCTCAAAAAGATGGAAATAGTAAGTTATATTGTACGTTTGGCAACTTTTATGAGTACTGTTGTGGATTTTATTCCTCAGTTTATTCGGTTTTGTTAATTATTTTCTCGAAACATCGTTACTTTACAGGGCTCGATTTAGTGCTTTGTTACTTGCACTGGTGCAACCCAATATAATGAAGTGCAACCTAGTTATTAGTCTAACTTGAACCAGGTGCAAGTCAATTTTTGAGTGGGTAAACTGCTGAATAAAACATCGAAGTAATTCAATAGCATATTTCTTTCTTTACATATTGCAATAAAAGCAGTGCAACTGGAATTTGGCTGGTGCAAATGTTTTTATCTTAGGTTGCACCTGTTTTCAGACATTGTTAAAAGTGATAGACTTCATAAAAGAATCATGTTAGTTAGGTTCCTAACATTATAGATCATTTTGATGCGACTGGGGACTCGTGACATCTTGGGTGGTTTTCCGGCCTACGGTGTTGAATGGGTTAAATACTACAGTGTGTCTTTTTGCTCGTATAATTTATGAATATTGTGTAACACTGTAACTTGTGATATAGTTCTGTTACAGTTCAGAGGTGTATTTCATTGACTTAATGAGTAATTTAAACATGTAAATATCTATTAGATTCAATTTTACATATTTCTTTATGTTCTATCAGGCTGAATTCAAACCTAAACCAAAAATAAACGTTTTGGCCTCACAAGCCACAGCCGTTAGTATTCCTTTGAACACAAACAGTGCGCTGTTCAGTATTATCATCATTCAGAACAAGCAATTGGTTTCTTTACAATTTCTACCTGATTAATTAGAATTTAATTTTAAGAATCCAGATTTATCAGAAAAAGGGGTAAGAGTTCCTTACGTACCCCCCTACCTAATTTAAAAAAAATATACAAAGATATACAAGTAATGAAAAGTAGGTTATAAAATAGGCAGGGGGTACGTAAGGAACTCTTCTGGAAAAGATTGCCAGACGAAAATACTTACCTGCATTACTATTGAAGTTATCATTTTCCATTGAATCCAACATTCCAGCAACATCAGACAACACTGACTGTGAATTGTTGAGAATTTGATGTAACGTTTCATCATCAACAAGATTGTCCTCCTGATCAATTTTTCTCTTTGTAGAACATCTTGAAACCTTCGACCTTTTTCTTTCGTCCTTTGTGTTGTCTGCAATGAAAACAGTTTCTTAAGATAACATTCTACATAAAACACACATGTATTTTGTAATGAAAAGAATTTATTCATTCATAAAAAAGGGATACCTGTTCATTTTGAGCTTCATAGTTCAATTCAAACACCTAAGCGTCAGGACATGAATCTATCACCCCATAGAATCACATAACATGTCATGCTGTAGAGGAACACTTAGAAAAACTGCCTTTATTTATGGTAACCTTGGAAAGATTTCCGCCCATAACCCCCGTTTTTCCATCATTCTATGCCTAAGAATAGATGTTTTTATGGAAAGCCTACCCTACCCTAACCCTAACATAAAGCTAAATCTAAACCCTAAACCTAAACCCCAACCCCTAGAAATAATCATAATAAATAGAATACATTTCAAGCGAAGGTTACGGGAGAAACTCTTACCACAACTTTTATGACACTTGCTTTCATTTGTTAATGCTTATTATAACAAAAATATTTTCAGGCAAAGGCAGTAACAGGGACAGGATGACGAACTGTTGAATTTGGAATGGAAATTTAGGAAGAAACAGTGAATGTTTGCTGCAAGGTATTTTCCATGTAATGCCTCAGAACCAAAAATATATTTTGTAGCCTCACCCTGGTCAGTATTGTTATTATAACTTCCCCATTTTCCAGTAAAGCGTGATGAAAAGCTGTACTTCTTCAACCTCTCCTGAAAGAAGAAACCACAGGACTGTAATCATACATACAGTAATAAAATCACATCAAGCTAATATTAAATATTTCAACGATCAGACATCCTGGATCAAGTCACACGATATCATATTTACAATGTTTATCATCTCCTACGTAACATTAGTAAATACATGTTATAGAATGGCGTGATTGCTATGACTTTTTCTAATGCTGAACCGTCTAATTCCAGTCTCAGATTTATGGACATCATGTGTCCTATTCAAAGGCTACAGCCTATTCCTTGTTTTACTATTGTTAGTTGAGGGTGTAAGTTGTGGACAAAGTGTTAGAACTTTTTTCCAGTTAATCTTTGCCTTCAAATGTTTATTGCCGCCTTGAACAACCGGTATCTTCCCATTATGACTACTCCCAGGTTTGACTACTCATGAACATAAACATATAATGGAGCACTGCTACACTTAATAATGTACTGTACCTGTATAGCTGATTACTCCCAGTTTGTCTACTGTTTGAAATATACCTATAAGGGTGACTCCCAGAGCCTACCTATAATGATAAGAAGCCAAGAGAATCGGGGATCTTGTGATCATTCATTGTTTGTTTTGATATTTGGAGATAACTCCTCTACTTGGATTAAAACTATGTAAACTTATAGTACAGGTTGTTTGTTTTGAAAATTGGACATAATCCCTCCAACTTCCATTCAAACTATTAACTGTAGAATGCAAAGATATTCTCAATCATTTTTACCGAGTGCAATATTATATTGCCCGATGGAGCTGTTAACGCTATTTCCCTGAATCAATTTAAAACCATGATAAACCCAACAGAAACTCGCAATTACTTTCATTTATATTTTGGAACTAGATTTTGTCAAACCATCCATTGTCGCCTCAAGCTGAGTAGTGATCTTAACTCAGATAGATATAATCGACATATATCGGAAATATCTAAGCGTTCATGTGGTCATTATAACGAAGACGATATTCACTACCTTTTAACATGTCAGAAAAATCAAAATTTAAGAACAACTGTGTAACGAAATAAAATATTATACAGCACAATAACTTATTAATTCACTTACTACTGGTATGTAGTGTATATGATACATCGTGTAACTCAGTATATACCGGTATGTGAATACTGGAACTCTTCCACAACAATGAATTATGTAATTAGCTGAATAAATATTGTATGAACCTGGTACAGCTATAATTGTTTATAAGTGTTGGTGGAACAGTCTACCTGATGGAGGGGAGAGCTTGTAATTAAAATCCACTCGACTGGAACAGGTTGTGTATTGGACGGGTAGTCAAACTGGGAGTAGTCATAATGGGAATGAACCGAACAACCATGCATGTCTCAAAACAGTTGATTGATGGGTACTGATTAATGATGTGACCAGTTAGGAGATTAACAGTTTGTTATGCATGTTTGTTATGTATGGCCTGGACCAAAAAACAGTTCACTGTATCCGTCAGTTTGCTAAAAGTATATTCATCCTCTCTTATTATAACTTTCTTTCATATTTAGCTGTTCCTCATTTTTCACAGGGGGTGGTGGTGTAGCCATGTGGTTAAAGTGTTTGCTCGTCACGCTGTAGACCCTGGTTTGATTCCCCATATGGGTATAATGTGTGAAGCCCATTTCTGGTGTCCCCGCCACGATATCGCTGGAATATTGTGAATAATGGTGTATAACTAACATCACTCACTCACTCTTGTGCAAAATGACTAACCATGAGTGGAAGTTCTAAAGCTGCAATGGCATTGTCTGTTGCAATCTTGACTTCCCTAGTGTAGTCATGACCCTTGCACTTTCTCTGAAATGAATATATATACTTTCATTAGTGGTATATCTTCCAAGACAAACAACCCAGGGGTGGAAATAACCCATTGCCTGATGCCCCAGTCCAGTGTTTTTTCCTGTAGGGCTAGCAAATGTGTATATCACACTGTACCGGTGTCCAGTTGACTTTCCAATGTTAATTATGTTGTTTATTTAAAAAATCAACAAGAAAATCAGCCAGTATAGTGGAAAAATTATCAGGGCAAGTGATTTTACATGTGCCACTGTACCGGAGTACACTAGCAATTTTAAAGTTGTTTCCACCCCTGCAACCTATTCCTGATCATGTGCAATCTCCTAAAAACAGCGCGGTGGGGTAGCCTACTGGTCAAAGCATTCGCTTGTCACGCCGAAAGACCCAGGTGTAAAACTAAACTCACTCACTCCTAAAAACATTAAATATATAAATGTGTTTTTTTTTCATATTTTACTTACACCACTGATTTGGTCGGTAGCAACCGGTTGAAAGTGGCAAATTTATTGATCAGGTTCGGTGACATGTCATGATATCCTTACAGCGTGGATGATTGCTCACAGTGTCAATCACAGGATATTCCTAGACTTCCTATTCCAAGTGCTGCATTAAACAACCAACCTGCACATACGCACTAGTGGTGGTACGATTAATTGAAATCGAAAATTGGTCGTAGTGACTAAAAAACTAAGCAATCAATCATAATTTCTCATAATGGAACACAAACAATTCTGGAACACACAGGGCTCGATTTAAGAGATGTTAACCTACTTGCACCAGGTGCAACCTAAGATAAAGACCTAGTTGCACCAGCCAAATTCCAGTTGCAACATAGTGTGTTAAAATGTTTCGGGTGCACATAAACCTTAATCAGTGATGTAGTACCCATGAAACCATAGCAACACTGAGACACAGCTGATCCCTGTTTACAAGAGCTGTCATAGCCGAGACGTGTTTATGAATAGCAATGTTTCATTGCCATAGCTATTCAAAGTTTAGAAGAAAAATGGGCTGGCATATTTATGCATATGTTAGAATTATTGTTGATTTATTTCTCAACAATTCAAGATAGACTCATAGCTAGGTTGTATTTTGTAATGCTGGGTTGCACCAGTGCAAGTAACAAAGCACTAAATCGAGCCCTGACACATGTTTTCATTAACAATATTTTTCACATGGTTGGTTTTGTCTGTTACATTTCGTAAGCACTACAAGCTCGTTTCAAGTCATGATTGAATTTATCTTAAAGGCTCCAAGAAATTTATGTTTCTAACATACTAGTCATCCTTTAAAGATGTGAAATTTTGCCCCAAAAACGCAAAAGAACTAAATGTTTTTTCCCTTATTTTTATGTGCATAAACAAATTTCATAACTGACGATAACCAATTATTTTCGATGATTGATCGGTTGTAATGAACAAATCATCAATTATGAGATTTTAACTAATTCCCAATACTAATACGCACACTCACAGGTAACGCGTCAATTTCTGTAAATGGCTTTATGGAGGCAACGTTGATCCAGGCTCTTGACACAATCTTATCAAAGAAAACCACATGGTACTGGGTCTGAAACAATAAATCACTCATCACAAATTCAACACCTGAACTTTCGTTGCCAATGCGCCCTTGTAACAAACTGGGAAAACGCACAGATAAATGATTAGTTTCTTAAACAACTTTTTTATTTGTGACAAAAATTATGCATTTTTTTTCTAGAGTTGGTCTGTTGTTTTTATTGCACTCTGCGTTGGTTTGATTCTTTTATGTCAATCTGTTTTTGTGTTTGATTGTAATTCATAGGTATCATTTTGTCTCAAACGGACTGTAGATAAAATAACTGAGAAAAATTGAGAGGTTCTATTTCAGCACATGAACTTGGAAACTTGCAGTCTTTCTTATCGTTTCTCTTATTACAGATCGACTACATATATAACAAACACATAAACCAACATTTAAATTTAAATATATTTTTACAATTAATGGAAAATGGCAAAATACCCACATTAACTTTGAGTGAGGTGGGTACAATTTATTTGGTTACTCAAAGGAAAATTAGGATACCCAATTGAGCCTAACACAAGTGAGTACATAACTCAATGACCCAAAAAGTTGTCTGTAGCTCTGGGACTCCCCCCAAAAATATGCCCTGAGTCCCCAGGATGCCCAGTTTCGAAGAGCTATGTAAAACCCTGAAAAGCAATGATAAAATTAACTAGACATAAATTAACAATAACTGACAAGTAATTCCCTCCTTTCCAGAGCCAATGAAATTAAGAACAGTAGGAACTTACAGGTAACATACTGTTTGGCTGACCAACTTCAAAGAAGGCGTCATAATCTGGGTCTATCTCTACCATGGCAGGCCACCTGGAGATAATTCATTACCACAATTTAATAGTGGGGTTACGATGATCGGAAATAATAAAAAATCAATCGAAAGAAGGATTAAAAATAATTATCGAATGAAAAAAATCGGAATTGATTAATCGGAATTTTGTTGTTTTAGTATAACACACTTAAATGAAGTAATATAACCATTAAATTTGACGAATACTCAAGAACAAACATGCGCTCAACATCGTAAAGCTATGTGCATTGTATTCATAGTTCCGTATTCATCATTATGGTAAATATAACTGTAACCTGTCTATGAATATATTTTGCATCTATTGTGAACGTAATGAGATATAGTGATAAATATTTGTTGTATAAATAAACAGCATAAATACATTAACATTAATTAGAAAAAACCTGGGGAAGAGCCTTAAAATTGGTGATTATTACATTTAATATGTACATATTTCAATTATAATCGTTCGCTCTTAGTCCTCCAATAATCTATAGTGGATTTGGTTTCCGATTCCCAACACTGCAATTAAATACTGCAATTGGCACCTTATCCACAGGTCATGTTCCTGCATATAGAAAACTTTACACACAGCTCAGACACAAGTCATATTTGGGATTCCCTTTCTCAGTGAACTACACAGTGTGGGGTTAAATCCCAGATGGGACTCAACCCCCATATGTACTAGAATCTGTATTTTACTAAGAAAGTGTAATCCCAAAAATAATTTGTTACATTTGACCACTTCCAAGAAGGCGCTGTGTGTTCACAGCTCAAACAGCAATATTCAGCATTGAATCTGGATTATCTTTCTCTCTCCAATTCAAGGGTAGTCCTCCAGTTTTGTTTTTGCCTTCCACTTCCAGTATGGGATAAACATAAATGAAAGGAAATCTAACTTTAAAATACATACAAATGGTCATCAAAAGCTGCCTTGGGGTAAGTATTTGGTGATTCTGATCAAGAGTATACAAGACATAACTAAATTAAACTCAGCAGTTTCATTTCAATCACTATCAAAATTACTATCTTCGTCATATTCAGGTTCACACTATGAACCACTTTTATTTTATTTCAGCTGGTTTATAAATCCCAGTGACTTTCTGCTGATTTGTAAGACACGACAACCTGTATGATTCAGAATTTAATAAGTCTCAAGATAATGACTGCCCATTGTCACACACACCATGGATATCCAGCCATCTTAGCCAGAACAACAGAACCCTCTGTGTACTTGGTGAAAATGTGACAAGATTCATCATATCTTTCCTCTGGTTTCTCACAGCTGTTAAAAGCTTCCACTGAAAAAGGAAAATACATGGCCTTCATACTATTGCTGTTTTATATGACATCACCTGCACTGGTGCATCAAACAAAAACTTGTGACAGCAAACTAAGGACTGAAAATGGGTATTATGATGGATTTGCAATGTTTTGATAAAAATTAGAAATTAAAGATAAACCGATTCCCTATCCATCTAATACTTGATTGCACTGACTATAACACACATTTAAGAAATACTATATCCACAAAACTAGAGAGCTAATGGTCTTAACAGCAGCATATTTTCAGTCCATTAGATGAATTGTGTAATTCTGCAATTACACAAACATTTGGAAAAAATGTAACAACTTAAAGCAGAACAAGTGTTTGCCACTGATATGGCAATGTCCCCCGCCGCTAAAGAATGGAATATCTATATTTACTACTTTTTATTTTTTGGTCACATAAAAGATGCCTGAAATGACTGGTGTCTGCATAATCAGCCAATGTAGGCTGTCAACATAATTGAAAACATTGGGTGCAATGTTTTATGAGATATCACGTTTAAATAAGTTGGAAAAGTGGTCAAAGTGTTGTGGTGACCTTGAAGGTAAGGTCAAGGTCACCCAAATCAACTGGTGTCTGTGTAATCCCCAATGTAGGCTGTCACCAAATTTGAAGACATTGGGTACAACAGTCCATGAGATGTCACTTTAACAAGAGTTTGAAAAGTGGTCTAAGTGTCCTGGTGACCTTGAAGGTAAGGTCAAGGTCACCCAAATTGACTGGTGTCTGGGTAATCCCCCAATGTAGGCTGTCACCAAATTTGAAGACATTGGGGACAACAGTTCATGAGATAGCGTGTTAACAAGAATCGGGACGTACATACGCCGCTGAATACAGTCCCCCGTTCCGCGTCGCGGCGGGGGACAATTACATAAAAATTGCGGAATTTGTCTATTTTTGTTACTCAGAGCTATAATTTTCATTTCAAGCTGTTTTATAAAATTTTCCATTTAGTGGAACGTTAAACATCCAACTAGAACAAACGAATATGAATCCTACAAATAAAATAAAGATTGAAGAGATTATTCCATTTTTAATTATTATTATGATACAGTGACTACATAATCAAAGTTAATATCTGACCAAAAATTAATATCAGTTTCATGGTGTTTAGTTGCATAATTAATGGGGCATGGTGGGCGAGCTGTCTCAGGTGCCTGAGGCTATTGATCCAGTAAGCTTGAGGTGCAGGGATCGAGGCTGGGTTTAAAAACTTCAACTTTGTGTTCAGACTCTTTCAGTGTTGTCACAGTGTTCAGTACTAAACCCTGTGCACTTAAAAGAACCCACAAAACCATTGGCAAATGACTAGATGGTCGCCGCATGAATACATGCGAACACCTAGTTGCATGTACAGCAACATGCAGTAAACTTGGACAAGGTACTGTGACTATGTGCCCCAGTCCACCCAGCAGTGAATGGGTACCTTGTAAGGATTGGAAAGACGCAATAACTTGGTGCACCTAGTGGCTGCAAGAGTAAGTTAGAGTTGTATGATCCCCAGGGGGTTGAGCTTGATAATACGATGTGCCTTTGAAATTGACATCCAATGATCGAGGGGAAAAATCTCAGTGCCTTGAGCATGTACTAGTTGCTTGGATATGTGCGCTATATAAATATCCTATTATTATTATAATGTGTCTCATCCAATAATCATATTTGTATGGATGACAAGTGAGCACAAGGGGAGTCCAGTTTTGATAATACTAGACAGCAATATTCAGTCCTGTGAAGTTATTATCAATCATCAGAACTGATACTCAACCTGTATTCATCCTGCACTCCCATCTGTCTGGAAGTGCTAATGGGTCAGAAACATTATGAAGATATCTCCACTTCAGGCAGTAGCAGTTCACACACTGCACCCATGTGCCTGTAACAAGAAAGAACATTTTCTGGAATATTGCTAAAAGTGGCGTAAAAACAAACTCAGTCAGTCAGTCAGTGATTCATGCCGCACCGTTTGTAAACAGTTCAGAGAGATACTTGCCCATGAAAGGTAGGTGAATATCAAGTTTCTTTGCAAATATCGAGACATCCGTATCGAGTTAAAAGAGCTTCAATAAAATGATAAATTGTGAAGGATTTTGCCGGGACCGACTGTACACAGTAATACACAATCTGATGTTACATGCAGTTTTACATCAATTTGGATGTACAATATTTTTTCCATATGTTATTTTTAAAGATGGTTGCATGCATTAAATATAATGACAGGTGTAAAATATTGGTATCATTTCTAGAGATCATAAAAGAGTGAGTGAGTGAGTTTATTTTTACGCCACACTCAGCAATATTCCAGCTATATGGTGGAGGTCTGTAAATAATCGAGTCTGGACCAGGCAATCCAGTGATCAACAGCATGAGCATCACCCTGCGCAATTGGGAACCGATGACATGTGTCAACCAACCAGCTAGCCTCACCACCCGATCCCGTTAGTCGCCTCTTACGACAAGCATGGGTTACTGAAGATCAATATTCCCACCCAGACCTTCACGGTTAGATCATAAAAGCAAATGCAATTTCTTTTAGTTAACGTTCTTGGTATGTACAGAATTCCCCGGTCATTAAAAGTAGGACATGCAAAGACAAAGTGGCTTTCATTCTTTATACCTCTTACAAATCCTTTATTTTACATCATTTCCTACCTTCATTGATCATTGATTCTGACAAACTCAATCTTAACCTGACAACTGAGTTAAGTAACTTTCAAGACATTATTTTCCAGGTGCAAGAAGACTTTTAAACAATCTGTAGGATTCATATCGTGTGCTTTCGTTCACATATGAATGCCAATTTTGCAAAACTATATAAGGGAGTGTTCCTGTAATTCATTTATAAACATAAATGCCAACTGCCTTGGCCTATTAAACAGACAGTGCCATACCCGTATGAAAATAAAGGTTTTGAATGCGTGAAGCCTATGTTGTCTTACCTACAGAGGATATTGTACTCTATTTTGAGAAGACGTTCATGCAAAGCTAAAAACATTTACCAATGTCAGTTTAAGGCATCAAATTTGTGATATAAATATGTAATGCGTTGCGGGCCCCACTCAAAGGTTTACAAGCCAAATGATGGATTTTATCTAAACAATCTTTGGAATCCCCATACTTCTGAACTGTAAAGGAATATTGGTCGTATTTGAGAATTTAACTGTTTTAGTGTGAGCTGTCAGGCTTGATTATTTGGCTGATTGTGCATCATTGATTGAGCAGTCACTGCTGACACACTTCAAGTCGATGTTTCGCTTGGAATTGTACTTACTGTGGAGTAAACCATTCATTACTCACCTATAGTCTCAAGCTCCCTCTCACTCATCTTCTTTTTCAGTGAGATTTTTGGTTCACGTTTCACTTTCTTGTTCAGAAAAGCCTCAGGTTTCTTTGATTCTTTTTTCTTTTCTGTTAAAAACATGAAAACAGTGGTAAATGCCTATCAACATTCATTTGTTGTAACTGTGACACTAATATTTATGCTGACAATGATCTGTGCTTACAATAATAGCCTTCAGAAGCAAAATGTATCAATCACTAAGTATTTCTGTTCTTTTTATGTGGCAGTGTTATTTCTTGTGTAACAGTCTTCCACAGTAGTGGGATTTGCAGAGTGCTATATTTAGACAGAGTTCTGGACTACAATATACCACAACCCCTTGGCCCTTTTCCCTGTATTCTGACCAACGGTGTGGAAGAAATTCTTCTGCGATCTTCTCATTTGGAATAGAAGGGGAGTTAACCCTTCTTTGATCTCGCATTATATATCAAGTAACAAGAAGAACAGCAACTGTGTGGCAATGACTAATTCCCAGTTAACTTTCAGTTTCAACTTGGGAATCAACATGTAACTGTGCATATCATTTGAATGAACTTGAATACTTGTTACATTGTGTCGACAAGATGTGAAAGAAATTAAATTTAGGGGACTTAAGGGACAAGTGTTAACTTTCACTGTGTCCAAATAGATTATCATATGCAACATTGAATGAACTCAACAAATTTACTCAATAGTGTTGTTCAAAATGTCAGTGAATGGAAACATGGGTTTAGTTTCTACACAATTTTTACATTTTCCAACAGAATTCTATATATTTTGTATGTTCAGCATTCAAACAAACCTGGTATGGTGAATAAGAATGGTATTGCCACACTTAATACTTATCATTACCACTGACCGCAAATGCTCTAAATCAAACCTTGTCCAATTTTCTTTGGAAGTGAACTTGTCTTTTTCGCTTTCTTTGTGTCACTTGTGGAAGTTGGATGCACTGTATCTGAAATGAAATCCACAAGAAAAGCAATTAAATCACTTGCACTCTTGCCTGATAATCACTATTACTGATATGATTCTGCTTATATTTCCTGCCTAACCTATACATATATGTAATAGAGTTATATTCTTACCAAATTGAAAACAAGGTTTCTGAAGTCTCTTAAATTTATATTAATTTGACCATGAAGGGTTCTATAAAATAATTATCATCTGTAAACTCACTAAAACAAGTCATTGACGTTATCTGTTACAATATTGACACACTGACTTAAACATTGTATTTCTACTCAAAGGTTATGATGAAGACCCCTCACTTTCAATATATTTTTGAAAAGCATCAGTCCTTGGTAGTTTGCTGTTATTGTCAACAGATCAGTATTGTATGTTCATTGCTTTTTCCATTATCCCGTGAATCAAAATGTATTGATTATTGTTAGATTTGTACACTGGTGGTACCATGCATCATATAAAAAATCAGACTTCAGTCACAAATATTAAGGGATTTCTAAGACCCTCTTCATCACTTTGAAAAGATGGTGTGCTTCCTTTCCTTCCTTTCAATTTGTTTAACACCATGACACCATAAACAAAGTTTAGTCAGTCCTATTATGATGTTAATCCCTTTAGCCAGTATGTGACACACAAGAAAGGTAATAATAATAATGAGTGAATTTATAAAGCACTAAAATACTCCAGGCACTAAGTGTCAGCTCTAAGCACTATGATAAGTATATATACACTGTATTTAAATCAAGTAGGAACAAGGAAATTCAGCAGTGATAATATTTTCGGAAAAGGAATGTCTTTAAATGACAGGGCTCCAGATAAGGGCTGTATCAACGTATGTATGGATAAATATGCACGATACAGTAGGAAATGATTTAGAAAATGTAGCAGATACGCACCACAGCAATGGTCTATTGTCTTAGAATCATTTACAGACGTATTTATCTGAAAAATTATTGTTTTGTTGTTTATTGACCTGTTTACACAAGAGTAGCAATGTTGTGGGGCACATATGAAACGAAACACAAGATTACTGATACTCCATTAAATTCCATTCACTACTCTAAATGTACTCTTAAGGTTTTCCAGTACTCCTGTATTGACAAAAATAAGGAGTACATACTCCTGATGTTGAAAAATTATCTGGAGCCCTTAAATGAGATTTGAAGTTGTCTAATGGTTGGTTTGACATCATGGGGAAGAGAGTTCCAGAGAGAAGGAGCAGCACAGCTGAATGAGCAGGAAGCCAAATGACTTTAGATGGCGTTTTGGCATCTCCAGAAAATCATGATTTGCTGATCTTAATGTTCTCACAGAATTGTGCTTGGAGAGGATGTCACTAAGGTAACTTGGTGCTGTTGTGTGACAGCACTGATAAGCAAGTGTGAGAGTCTTAAATTCTACTTTTGCAGCCAGTGCCAGGACGTCAAGACAGGTGTGATGTGAGAGCGCTTCTTTGTTCTGCTAATGATCCTTGCACCAGTGTTCTGCACTTTCTGAAGCTTTGTGAGGAGTTTCTCTGGCAAGCCGTAATACAGAATGTTGCAGTTGATGGTAAGAGTACACTCCTCAAAATGTTAGATAGCATTCTGGGAGCCTCTGACGGCAAATGTTCTCAAAAGTTGCATGTTGTCTGCGTAGTCGTGACAATCAACACCTTGCGCCTCGATAGAATCACAAAGAGCCTTGATGTACAGCGTGAACAAGTGAGGTCCAAGCATGTATCCTTGGGGTACACCGAAAGATAGAAATTCTCTTTGTGAAGACACATTAAGGTAAAAGGAAGAATGATAGCTATCAAACAAAGGACCACAGAGTTCTACAAAACTCACTTAAACCTCAAAATAATCCTCAAAGTACTTCAAATCTCTCGTAATTTCTTAATTATCCAGAGCAACTTGTGAACATACAGAACAATGATACATATCTTGGTGCACAGCAGTAAATACATACCTGAACAAATACCTTTATGTTTGCTGGCCTGTTTGTCTATTTTGGGTTTTACTGACTTGGTAGAAAATGCCAAAGAAGTCATTGTATCTGAAAAGCACAAGAAATCAGAGGTCATCACAGGAACATTCATTGACAAAATGCTTTGCCAAATATTTACACAATATTTTTTATAGTTAAATCAATACAAGACTAAAATGGCTTTGATGTGAACAAAAGAGATTCTTTGCAAAATCACAAGATGTGCAAATTTGGTACTTTAAGTTGAAATACATGCCTTCAACAGTGGAGTCAGGTTTCGTAAACTGAATCTCAGGTAGTGGTGTCTGTTCCACATTGTTTTCTTTCTCCTTTTCATCTCTGGATAATGATGTTTTGCTGAAACAAATTGCTTCAAATTGTAATATCAATATCTGAAATTTCGTGTTTTATATAAATCATGGACAAGTAGGCTTCAACTACTCTTTTTGTAAACCAGACAAGTACATTAGACAATTGATCAAGCTTTGCTGATAAATAGCACTTAAGGATTGGATTGGGTTTTTTATATGCTGGACAAAAATACTTAGGGATATATGTAAATTTTGTAATTATGAATAATGATCTATTATTCATTGACACACTGATAAAATATCAATCATAAAAATACCAATATCCCTAACTTATTTTGTCTAGTATATGAACAGCTGAAGCTTCATGCTTGTGGCAAAAGTCTCAGGCTGATATGGCCACATGTTAACAGTTCTGATGGTCTCCTAACTTTTAAGCAAACACATGGAAGAACTGTAGCTGTAGAAGTACTGACAAACACAACCTAACACTGCAAACTCTCCTAAGCCCACTAAATAACACCCAAACCTTCAAATCCTTAGGTATATTTCTTATCAAAACTAGTCTTTTAGGTCGCTTACAATCCCACTTAACCAACTAGTGCTAACATAAAAAACATACAAAAACAAAACATAAAAACAATATACAAAAGAATACCAACCAAATCATCCAATAGTTCATCCCCCTTCAACTTCTGGCAAATTTCCAAATCAACAATTCATACAAATTTAACCTTGCAACCTATGACCCCCTTTAGGTTGCCATATTTTTTGGCCAAATCACCCCCTTTCAATCAAACACTAAATGGTCTGACAGACCAGTGTGAGAGATAAGCATCATGTTGGAAAGTGCATGTTAAATCTGCAAATCATCATTATTATGTCAAACACAAGTCAAAAAGTAGTGCAATACATACCATGACACTTCCAACAGCAATATATCATTACTACAATGTACTGTTAACACTCATTTAAAGGTGAGTAACCAAATTGTACAAATGGAATTCCATTTCTTTCAAACATTAACTTCAAACAGTGACTATTCTTGATTAGTGCATTGATTTGAGCTGAGAATCAAACTCAATCAGTGTTCACGAATAGTGTCTGACCCTTCTATAGGTGCTGTGCCTTTTCAGTGAGTCAGACAGACATCTGAAACTTACAGGACCCAATGTTCTGTTACTTTGAAACACCATTCATGAGCACTGCCCAATCAAAGTTGACTGCAAAATTGGCTGTAGTACTGGTGTCTTGTGGATGTGCAAAATCAGAGGACACACTGGCCTCATCTCTTGTATCATTTCTACATACTTATCCCATTTGTCAATGTCTTCATTCTCCATGTTGTCCTCTACTATCACTTGCACCATGATCATCTCACAAGCTGTTTCATCCATGTCAGATTCTTCCTTAATAAGTTCCTCATTATCATCAGAGTCATCTAAAACTGATTTTAACTGAAAGACTACACTCTGTTTTTTATCTCTTATTTGCAAATGACAACAGGCGTAAACATATTTTCCTTAAAAATATGTACATCATTTGGTTATGGGGAAAACAGGAAATGGCATGAATTGAACGAAAGTCAAAGACCAGTAGAGTGACTGTTTAAATCAGTGGTGTATTGATTAATTGAAATAATCGAAGATTGGAAAAGAACAAGCTTTAAACATGCCACTCAAAGAAGTTGATCGAAGATTGTGTGCAGTGACCAAATGACCAAGCAATCTATGACATTTTCTTATAATCGAACACAAACGATTTTGGAACTACTCTTTTAGTGTTTGAAATGCTTGTCATATCTTAGAAGTTGTCAGGGCTTGAAAATGTGTTTAATTCTTCGAAAACTCACTTCACATACTAAAAAGTCATGACTGAATATTTCTTGAAAACTCTGGCAAGCTTATGTTCTTGATATATTAGCCATTACTTTAAGGAGCAAGTTGCATCATTTCACATTGGATGTGAAATTTGCCCAGTTTCTACATGAAACTAGAAACAACAGAAAACCACATGTTATCTGCATTAACAACCTGAACAGGAAAATCTGAAAATTGACGCTAACCAATTTGTTTAGATGATTGCTCATTGGCAGTCTATTTTAGACCATGCCCTTGCATCATTAAAGCATAGTCGTAAAAAATGACGCACTATTCCATGACCTGGTGGGTCCGATTAGAGCACCATAAAAATAAAATGACGCATAACAATCATGCATAAGCCTCCACACCCTGCCAAACTTCCCAATATTTACAACTTGTTTTCACATTTTCTAGTGATCAATCAGCATTCGCAATCCTCACAGCGCTATGCACGCTTTCCAACATCCAGTGCGGTGCCTAACTCAATGCATGGAGCTTATAATATGTAGCTTATTCAAGTCATGCTTTATGTCTATACATAAGCGTTAAGCCCCATAGCAGTAAAAATCTATATATCGAAGGGAGGTTAACTGAATTTGAAGGTAGTTATTTGAATCAAAATGCTGTCGGCAAAATCGTCTGCTGCTGTGAAGCGACAGTCAGGAATACTTTCGTTTTTCCAAACAAAAAGATCAAACAGTGACAGAAGATTAAGGAACAGTTGTAGGGTCAAATGATGGCAATTGTAATTCAGAAATTGCATTGGAAACATCGAATGTCAATGACACGGCCATCGCAGTGGATGTTGAAACTCAGAGCAAGACATCCCAGTCACATTCTTTCCAAACAAAATGGCAAGTTTTATATTTGTGAGAGTTGTTCCGGAAAGTCATAATAAGTCCACTAATTTGTAATGAAACCAGACTGTCACTGAGACATAAAGTTACAAGATAATAACTTTAATGGTCATCTCATTAAATTAACAGTGTTTTGAATGAACAGTGTTTTTGAATACAACTGAACAGCTGTAATTTGAATGATAAAATCATTAAAATTACTGAGTGAATAAATTGTCTCCCTTGATTTTTTTTGAGGACCCACCTACAATGGCAAATGGCTCACTAGTTCCACTACCCATGGGCCCAGGGCCCACTTCATCTGAAAAGTTAAATAGACACTGCAAGTGTAAGATTTCAACCAATTCTCAACAGTGATTGTTGATAATGATTACTCCTGAGGCTCAGGAAAACTTCATGAGACCATCTGGCTACTCTCTCTCAAAGGATCAGTGGGGTTTCCTAGTGGTTAAAGCGTTGCTCATCACGCCGAATACCAGGGTTCGATTCCCCACATGGGTACAATGTGTGAAGCCCATTTCAGGTCTCCCCTACCGTGATATTGCTGGAATATTGCTAAAAGCGGCGTAAAACCTTACTCACTCATTCTAGATGAAGGTCATCAGGGTAGACCTAGAAAACTGGATCTACATTGTCCACCTGATTAGGAAGAGCGACAGGACAATCCAAACAGATTTTGAACTGGATGACACAGCAGAATCTGGATACATGGCCGATGTAAGCCATTGTCCTGATCCAACCTTATCATGATCACGAAAGTTTTAAAAGTCAAACACCAAGATCACTTTCCTGTCTCATAACAAGACACTTAAATAAAAATTCTGTTTCAAAGTGGCATTAAACTCATCACAGAAATCCACCATGAGGCAAATAAGATCATCCTCGATATGTCCAGGGTATATGTTCCTTCTAGTGGAGATTTATCGGAACGTATACCCTGGACATATCGAGGATGAAATAAGATGTGCCTCAGGTGATTTTTGTCTATTCAATACGTAGTCACAAAAGAGTTGTGCTGTGCTTGATTCTTCCATTAAACATGGAGCTATTTTTAAACAGTTATCATAATAATTATAATACTTTTGTACAGCACCTAATATCCACCTCAAAGATGCTCAGAGACACAAGTACTATCACATGGTTAAAAGGGGTTAAAACATTGATAACGTCAAGTACAACTTCTGCAATGATTAGAAAGGAAGTTACTGGGGTCCTAAATGTTTCTGCACTAGTATTTTAATCTGATTTCTTGATCACAGCCATCAACATCCAACTTTCATTTCACAGTGTTTAATTACAAAATGGATTTGCCAAACGAAAGGATCTACCAGATGAACAGTTGAGTACATGTATACATATTTATGAAAATGTGAGTAAAAAGTCCATGCATGTCAGAGATGTTTATTGTATTATTATTGCAGTAATTATTTTATCTGCACAATTTAGCTTGAATATTGCGTCAGATTTGCTCATCAGGTTGAACCCTGGATCCTTTTCTTACTGAGATTGACAACATTCAATTCATTTGCCGAATCCAAATTCCACTTTGACTCATAGTGCCTAAAGCATGTTCAAATGGTACAAATCAAACCTGAATAATTATGCATCTGTTATTAAGCAGTTGATCCATGTAATTTACATCATCATTTGGTCATTGGTTTCAACAGCTGTGACTCAGGGAGACTACTGTATCAATCTACACTGCCTCTTTACTTTTCTTCAACATTTTGTCTTACAGTGCAATCCCCATTATCGGAACCAACTGATCATATATTATCGCAGAATTAAAATTATAAGCTATTTTTCGCTAATGTTATTGCAAACAACGATTCTTGTTTATGCTTCGCAGCGGGTCCACAATAGCATTGTCAAAGAGCAAAAGTAACGATGTTTCAAACATCGAGGAAATCATTAAATAAATTGAAATCAACAATAACATTCATAAAAGTTGTTAAACGTACATATAAAATTTATGTCAGTCAAGTCACTGACAAGTTACATCTCGGCTTTCACACGATGCTTAATGTGAAAATATATGCTTGAAGCATTTTTGTCATAGGCCATAACCTAGCACGATATGTCCAATACGTTCCATGATTTACGTATAGGTAGCGATGTCTTTCTTAATATGTTCAGAATAGCATTATTTTACCCAAAAACTTTCGTCTTAATCTAAAACTTTTCGCTTACGAGGACGGTATCCATTTCCATAATATGATTGGCTGCTTTAGGTCCAACGGTCTGATTTTGACCAATCACGACCCACTGAAAAACAATGCCGATATCCTGAATAGACAGATGCCGATGTTTACAGAAGTTTCTTAATGATAATAACGCATTTCTGCCGGACTGAAACTTTGTGCCCGATGTAGACAGAGTGCCGGGTGTTAAGAAGGCGGTATTGACAGAGTCCACTGTACCTTCTCCACGACTCTCTGCGCTGGAGACACTCTGTAAAACTGCCATGAAGATTTCATCATATTCTTCATTTGTCAATGACTTGCCAACCACCCTCCTTGGCTTACGCACATCCCCATCTGCTGCAGGCTACAACAGAAAAATAATTTGAACCATTAGATATTATAGGAAACAGAAGACATGGTATATTTGGGATTACACTTTCTCGGTAAGGTACAGATTCTACTACTTTTGTTGGGTTGAGTCCCATCCGGAAGTCCCATCACAGATTCTGTATAATTTCCAGGTGAAACATGTCCAGGACTGTCATTTTGTTTCCTCTCTCTCTAACAATGGAAATCTACACGTGTATTTTATTTAAGAATCTAGCATCATGATTCATTAAAGTGTTTCTTCAAGTGAAACATTGCAAAATTTACACTCTGCTTTTTCTGTTTCTTCTGTTTCAGATCGATGCAGCCTTCCTTTCTGGATTTTTCATCTTCTCTCTGCAATCAGAAATATGTTGTTCAGGAGAAAACGATGCATTGCTGTATTTTTAAATAAACAATACTATCACACACATTCTTCTATATATTTTTCCTTTGATGATAAATTCTGCGATAAATACTGAGGATTATTTTATGAAATGTCTCTAAAGTTCATTATGCTGCATTACATTTTTGCATGTGAAAATATAAAAATGATGCAAGGGATTCTGTGGCATTTAATTACTTAGCGAAATGTCCTTGCATTTATGTTTACATAAATTGAAAATAATAATAACTGTAAACAGTTTCTTGTGTCGCTGTTAATGAGTGGATCAGTTTGTGTTCATTACTGCACTGAATGTCACCAATTTTGAACTGTTCTTGAATTATTTTTACATGCATGTGCTTATATATGCACTCTGTTACACTATTATTCTTCATAAATATACTGGTAACAAATGATTTCAGTATATTTCAATAAAAACTGGAGTGCACACTTTGCATGAATCTGTGAAGCAAGGGTATTGGCTTTGGTTTTTACACTTCCAAAAAGAAAAAATCTGTTGAAATCAATTATTAAATACAAAGACACCCTGAAAAAATGCAGCTATAAATCAGTTGTCATTTCCAAATAAAAAGATGCAGAATGGCCAAAATACATCACCTTACAGATACCTTAACATGTGACAGATTACTCCAAGTGAGTGCCTCCAATTGTTGTATAAAGAAAGAAATGGCAGCACAGATAACATATGGGGAACCGGCCCAAAATAATTCTGAATTCTCACTACATCAATGTAATCATTGAAACTCATGGACACTTAATATACGAAAAACTAATTATTTTTAACCTCCTTACCTTACAGTTGCTTTTATCAAAACATGGTGCTTTCTCCTCTTTGTCTGGTACGACATTAGATTTTACAGACGGCACTGAAAAGTTTAATTAACATCAATATTACTGGAGAAGAGTCTCAGAAGACACTCATAAAATAAAAGTCACAAAAGGCTTATTGAAATATCTGCTCAAGGATTTGGGTGCATTACCAATTAAAATTATTCCAAAAGACTTTCAGCTGACACAGTCAGTTTCTGTTTGTTTTAGGCAATAATATTCTTGCTGAAAGTATTTGTGAAACATTTATTAATTGCAGGAAGCATTTAAAAGCAAATTCAACTTAGAATTTAACCATTTCAAGAAAATATTGCACATAAATACTGTTAAGATGTCAATGAATGTTTTCAGACAGATTGGAAATTGCAAAAGTGCTGAGCATCAGAACTGTTGACAGTTGTATATCTTTAGTCCATGCCGAATGTTTGAGTCTAAATGCTCAAAAACAGCCACTACGACTCACAGATGTAATTATGGAAACACTACTTTTTTGTTAAATAAACACAAACAGCTCTATAGTGCACATTTCTTAAATGAGTCCACATAACTGATTTCTGTTGCACAGATTATTTCAAATGACAAATGTGATAACAAAGCACAAACCTGAAAAAGACTGTTTGGCCTTTTTCTTCCCTGTTTCCATTGTTCATTAGATTGCTTGCACTCAGATAATTCAGCCTGAATCAAACAAAATCTGGTTACAGACATTGTGAATCATAACAAAATCGCATTACTATCATGGATAAACTGGAGACATGATGATAGAATTTAACTGTGGTCCTTCGCATTTTCTGCAATAGGTCTTTTAAGACACCCAAAGGGCCCCTAGAATTCAGTATTTATCTAAACAGGTAATACTGGAGCTAATTATTAAGGTTGAAATCAGACATAAAGCTGATGTGCCAAAAGTACTCGCAGAAGTCATCTGCAAACTGGTTCAGTGGTATATTCCCTGAGTGACCACAGTCCTCTTACATAATAGGGGAATACAGTGGTCACTCATGGACAAATGCATAGGGGTAATTAAGAGTGGTGGTCACTCAGGGACAAAGTTAGATGAGCAATTAAGTTACTCTACCAGAACAAGGCTTTTGTTGTGTTGTTTAAGTAACTACTGTGTCAAGTGATTAACTACTGTCTCAGGAGAAGGATGTTGTTGTGTTGATTTACTGGCAATAGTGAGAGAGGGAGAAAGAACATGGATGTTTTGTTCATTTAGTGATTATACAACTTCTGTGTCAAGTGATTATTATTTGTAAAAAATGAAGCATGAATGTATGGCAGGTGAGGTATGTAAAACCTAAGGTGTTTGGTATACATTTATGACATTTTTAAAATTTGTTGTCAGGGCTTTTTTATGTGACAACAAAAATGTGTTGGAAGTGTGAGTTGTTTGGGGGTATTTCTAAGAGGTGGGTTGGAAGGGTGCCTTACATCGGAAACCATTCAAATGGACAAACAAAATGCTCTACTTGACAAAAACTGTTAGATCCAAGATGTTTGCAAAATATCAAATTAAAAAACTTCTAAAACCACCACTTGCTTGACAACGACATTAGAATCTATGTCCAAACTTCGCCTATACACAAAAAGGAAGTTGTATATCCATAAAAATAGTCCTCATTCTTCATCTACCCAACTTCTAGAATGCCAATCAAGGAAGTAAAAGACTTCTACTCAATTTATGAACATTATTCTTGCAACAGTAAATTAACATGTAAGTCTATGGAAATTTCACTAATGGTGACTCACTTCTGCCGGTTATGGCCAAGTACTGTACAAAGCAAACCGTAACGGCCACTTGCAAACGTGTTATCGCTGGCTCGTATTACAGGGCGTGGCATATGCACACAAGCAAAAAGACGCTATCAACGTTTACTAAGACAGCCCACGAATCTAAATAGTTTTAATATTAAAAATTATTTAAGAATTTCATTCAGATTAGTAACATCATCATGTTTCGAACCAAAACTTATATTCATTTGGATACAAGGTAACAATAACCTAACAAAATCATCTTTGCTGTCATAAAACGTACCTTACAAATTGCCGCCGTGTGCAAGATGAAACGGCATAAAACGTCACTTCCTGTTATAGTTTTTGGGCAGAAAATATGCAAATGACCTTATAGTTTAAGCAGGATTACTCTTGACTAAGTAAGTTTTGGTTCATGCTGGATGTAACGGCAGTAACCTGAATATAGGTGTCATACTTGTTTTGAAAATATTCCAGAACTTATTGAAAAGACGAATATTTTAATATTTCTACGATTAGACATGACATTCCAATCAAAGAAATCACTTTTTCAAGAGCGATGATTTTTTTTACGTAATTGTATATGTAAATAGCCGATGCGGGGCGTGGTGTTTCTGCTTTCCCGAAGTTTTCACGATAATAGAGCCCGCGATAGAGAGTCCCAGTCTACATCTACAACACAAGAGTTGGGTAATGGACCTAACATTGGCCCTCCATGGTCCGCTAAAACTCATTTTAAAACTTTATGAATACTCAAACGAAGTATGTTTAATTTTCCGAAACAGAAATCTGCATTTATGTTCCGAATGAACAGCTGGTCAGTAGTGTTCATATTTTCCCGCCACTTGAATGACACTGAAATGGCCTACTTTAGTAGCAATCTAGGTCAAATTCACGTTCGATCGACATAAAAAGCAGGAGCATTGTCAGAGCACCCAAAAGAATACACACCTGCAATTATCTCACGCATATATATGCATTTTTAAAACTTCTGTCAAAGCTATTAAGTTTTCAATGCCACTTCTGACAGATTGCAAATCCACCATAAAAACAGACGATATCAAAACTTCCGGTTTACACCCTTCCCATAATGCACGGAACATGAAACTATTCTCTCAACCACTAATGCCTTGTTTTGCATTATGTAATGCAATGCTTTTCTTGGTTTGTAAACAGTTTCATTTACATACTAATCATAGAATAGCAATAAAACATTTGAGAAATCTCCCTCCATGACTGACTTGTGTGAATGATAATACTCGTGAATGTTTGCGCATGCAAGTTATATATGAATATCATATTTTCAGCTCAATCCAAAACGAAGTGATCATGGCAGTTACTGAACATTTCTTGCAGCGGCGGTCAGGTTTTACATATTTTAGTACCATCTTTCCACGACCCCCTCCCCATTAAATATATATTACATTTTTATATGGTCCCTATACCCACAATAGGTTGTCCGTCCCAATATCTACTTTGAATGTTTCAGTTATTAGTGTAACCATTTTAATTGAAAAAAGTGTTCGCTTTTATCGTCCCCTCTACCAAATAGTTGTGATATTAACGACCATCACTTTAGCCACTCTTTGTCAATAATTCTAATTTCACACAGTCACACACCCTCCCCTTCCCTATAATAAGGTGTGTTCTAGAGTAAATGTCAAGTGTCGACAGAATGTGTTAGCGTGCGTGTTTGCGCGCGCGCGTGTGTGTGTGTGTGTGTGAGAGAGAGAGTGTGTGTGTGTGTGAGTGTGTGAATTACTGAAGTGAGTGAGTTTGGTTTTACGCTGCTTTTAAACACTGTTCCAGCAATATCACGGCGGGGGACACTAGGAATAGACTCCACACTTTGTAACCATGAGGGGAATCGAACCCGGGTCTTTATCGCTTTAACCACTATAGGCTACGCCATCTCCCCGTGAATTACTGGAAGTATACAGGAGACTAACTGTTTAATATATCTGCGTTATTGCACCACCTTTACTTGTTCACGCCTTTGAACATGGTACAACACAATCAACATTATCGATCGTGGAAATTGTATCTGCCTCGGTTCGTATGCCAGTGTCAGTTGCTATATTTTAGATTGGAAATGATGTTTTGGAACATGAATGAGACGACTTACTTCCTTTTCCCGATCTTACAAGACTGAGTTAAAAAAAAAACACACACACCAAATAACTATACCTCTCATTTGTCTTTACATTGTGTTAGTTTTCAGTTGAAAATATCTCAAGTTAGTGGCAGTAATCTAAAACATGCACTGATCCGATGTTTTGTCAACATTACTTTTTTTAGCGTTATTTGTTTTGGTTTTGAAACAAAAAACATCGGTTTTTTTTTTTAAGAAATCGAATAATACACTTGGCAAGAATTTTCTTGGCACATTTCATCTAAGCCATGTGGTTACAAATTCATTGATTTTCTCAACCAACTTCACTGAACCAGTTACCAGGTTACCCAGCTGCATATTACTTTTTACAATCAGTTGCATGAATGCGTGACGGTTAATTAAATAATTTAATTTAACAACATTTCTTTTAGTGTTCAATTTCATGAACAAATACGTCTCTGTATACTGTACTGTCCACTGCCCATCAGGATACAGTCGTAGACAACAGCGGTCGTCAGAAACCAGGAACTGTTTAAAGACAATGTCTTGATAGAACACGATGATTCGTAGATAACTTCATTGTTGTAATGGACATGGGACTCTAGTTTTCAAGATAATTTTAAAGAGATGTTTATAGCTGTACCCAAATGGGGATTCCCCTGTCAGTTGCTTTCCTGACCACCCGTGTATATTGTACGAGGCGAGTAAATGAGTTTAGTTGTACGCCGATTTCAGCAATATTCCAGCAAACATTAACAATCGGGGAACAACAGAAATTAGCTTCACACATTGCACCCATGCGGAGAATCGAACCCATGTCTTCAGCGTGACGATCGAACGCTTTAAGTACAAGGCTTCCCCACCCCAGCGCGTACGAGTGAGTTTAGTTTTACGCCGCCTTTAGCAATATTCCAGCAATATCACGGCAGGGGACACCAGAAATGGGTTTCACACATCGTACCCACGTGGGGAATCGAACCCAGGCCTTCGGCGTGACGAGCGAACGCTATAAACACTATAGGCTACCCCAACGCCCCTCCATATTGTACAAGGCGAGCACGGGACCCAGCAGTCGATGACGTGTTTGATTGTGGGACATGTCATCGTACCCATGCGGCGTGAATTGTTCTCGCAGTGGAATACAGCTGGCAACATTAACAATGCATTAACAACGTACACATACGTACGCACACGCACATGCACACGCACACGCACACGCGCACGTAAAGTGTATGATTACCAACATAAGAAGTCAATTTCCTGTCTATCTTTAGATTATTGCAGGCACATATTCAGAATGTTTATTCCAAACATGTTACCGATCTTTGAAAAAGACAATCTGTGTCTCTGGAAATGAAGAATGAATGAGTATATGTGTTAACGTCGTATCAACAGTTTTGCAGCTATTTGAGGCGAGGTCTCTTGAAATGTTTATTGGTCTAGAGACATGATTATGTTGGTCAGAAAAGAGAGTCCGTGCGTATATGCAGTTTTGTACGAATTTATGACGAAGCATCTCTCTTGGCACCAAAATGTTGTTTTTTGTCATGAGAATTTAATCGGTAATTATCCGTAGTTTGGCTCAAAATCCCCTTAGTCGCCTCTTACGACAAGCATGGGTTACGAAAGACCAATTCTAACCCGGATCTCCACGCGTCTGGTTATAGCAATCATCTGAAACGAAGTTCAGGTGTTGTTTGATTAACCAATATGGTTTGGATTTGTTGACTGTCATCTGTTCCCAATTGCGTAGATCGATGTTCATGCTGTTGATTAATCACTGGATTGTCTGGTCCTGACTCGATTATTTACAGCCTGACGCCATATACGCTGGAATATTGCTGAGTCCGGCGTAAAACTAAACACACTCACTCACTGAACAGTTTCAACTGCTTTCACAACACCTTCACCTATAAAGGCTGGACTCAAACCAGAAGACATAAACTTTCCTTGGATTTGTTGTTCAAATAATTCTAGGCCTGTAGAATATCAAATGATCAAACCCAATTTATGGACATCTGTAATGAACAGTTACCATTTAAACACGCATGACACTGAAATAGCGTTAACATCTCAGTTTCATCTAAAGAAAAAAACAACATCACACTGATAATAGAAGACTTCAAGTCGGCCCATTGAAATAAGAGAGCAGTTATGCACGAAGATCACCAGGCGCGAAGCAAGCCAATTTTGTCGTGTAAGCCCGATAGGTAGACTAATGCTTAGTCTCTGAACATATATAATTTTGATAGTAACAAACAAGCCCATTTAAATTGAAAAGGTGCCCCAGGGAGACCAGAGATTCAGAACCTGAGGAAATCTAGACTTGCTTTATTTAGGGATTTAGCACTGCAGAGAGGGCTTGGCAGTAGGGAAAATAATGTGGTTCAGGGACTGCGAGACAGACTACCCGATAGGTTGCAAAGCTTTATATTTAGATTGTATTGAGGGTTTGCCCAACTTTCGTTTTCAAAATCATGTGTAAGCCCGGGTTTTTTTTGTTTCAAACATATTTTATTCGAAAATGAAATGGATTGGGCACAAGTTATCCAACTTAGGAACGCCCTTTCCCAGTTTCCCGGGTTTTTTTTATAATGGTAGCTACGCCCCTGTGTATTCAAGTAACAGTATAGACGAACGCTTAGTCCTCGAATATGTATAATTTTGAAAGTAACAAATAAACCCATTTCAATTGGAAAGGAGCCCCAGTGAGTTGGGAGGTTCAGAATCTAGACCCAGCTGCATCGATCTATGCTCATGATGTCAATCACTGGATTGTCTTATTGACCTCATTCCTAGAGCTACTATTGTTTTGCTGGAATATTACTGAGTGCCGAGTTAAACAGGAAACACAAACAAATGTGTCTCTTACACCAATACCACTTGCATACACTACCTTAGACTAACGCTTAGTCTCTGAATATATACATAATTTTGATAGTAACAAACAAACCCATTTAAATTGAAAAGGAGCCCCAGGGAGACCAGAAATTCTGAACCTGAGGAAATCTAGACTTGCTACTTTCTTGGGCTCCAGCCGGGAGGGCTAGGCAGTAGGGAAAATAATGTGGTTCAGGGACTGTGAGACAGACAAATAACAGTGCATCATGTACGGTAAGGACATGCCAGTTGTCTAATAATAGCTGCCATGACTCAAAGTCTTGACCCCGACAAACCGCTGTCTCGGGAACAGGTACACCCCTTGACGTGGGCCCGCACAGATATACTGCTGTTTGTGTGTGCTCTTGAAGGGAAGATATGTTTAGAAAATATAAACACTTGAATATGCTTTTTATAAACCGATCTTGTACTTCAGTTTATAGGTATTGTGTTGCTCATTGTGAATGGCTGCCAGAATTGAGTGCACATTCACAGGGAACGTTGTTGTGCGTACCTGCTGGACTATAGACTAACACTTAGTCTCTGAATATATCATTTTGATTGTAAAAAATATACCCATGTATATTGAAAAGGAGCCCCAGGGAGACCAGAGATTCAGACCTGAACCTGGAGAAATGTAGACTTGCTTCATTTAGGGCTTTAGCACTGCAGGGAGGGCAAGGCTGTAGGGAAAATAATATGGTTCAGGGACTGTGAGACAGACTACCGCTGGACTGAGACCGTGGAGAATGTGTATAGGCGAGATGTACTGCTCGATACTCGGGTCACGTACGTACGACGTATGCATGGAATGAACACGTGACATGGTGTTGACATTAAGGGAAGGGGGATATATACGTACGTATGTACATTCCCATTTCCAAACGCGCGAGCGCACGCACACACACACACACATCAGAGTGTGAGTGAGTGAGTATGTGGGAGGGTGAGTGAGTGATCGAGTGAGTGAGGAAATAGGATTGATCATTTGTAGAGGCCTGGAATTATTTGAGTGAGTGAGTGGGTGCGTGAGTGAGTGAATGAGGAAAAAGGGATGGATCATTTGATATTGTAGAGGCCTGGAATTATTTGAGTGAGTGGGTGCGTGAGTGAGTGAATGAGGAAAAAGGGATGGATCATTTAATGTTCTAGAGGCCTGGAATTATTTGAGTGAGTGTGTCATCCGAAAATGGGCGTTATGCATTGTACAATGAAGACCATCCTCCTTTTGATGTCGGGCGTAGATGACCACATTCGACTGAGTCTGACTCATGGATGCATTCAGTCTCCTGGTACGTTTTGCCGACGCTCTATGACGAGTCTAGATAGTGAGTAAGTTTAGTTTTAGCAATATTCCAGCAATATAACGGGGATACCAGAAATGGGCTTCCCATGTGGGGAATCGAACCCGGATCTTCGGCGGGACGAGCGAACGCTTGAACCACTCGGCTACCCGACCGATAGTGCTGTAAGTGTAATGTGTCTATGTGTGGAATAGTATGTATACTTTGTGTGTATCAAAATTACCACTTTGTGATAGTGTGAATTATTATATGAATTTTGTTAACAACTGATGTACAACCTTTCATATAACTTTAATCAAACCAAGGTCGTTTATATTTTCCTTGATGAAACCAGGGAGACTATATAACGTTGTAGATTATCCCTGATGAAACATATGTCTGCCAATTTTCCTTCGATTTGTCTCCCTTTAAAATCAGAATATGGAAGCTTTATAATACTTGATATTTGATGCTAAAATATAACTAAATCCTCGACTTCCTCAATCTCATTTATAAACATGAAATATCTAGGTTGTCATTTTTTAAGCAATATTTTATCATTAATTATGCATTTGGATAATGAAAACCTGCAGTCAACAAACATCATAATTTGTTCTCATTTGACCATAATATCCCTTTTCATCAAACCTCTGTTAAACCGCTGTTTCATCCGTGTCCACGGTATCAAATTTTGATATATTGGATGATAAACTAAGACTTCTATCTAACAAAAACAAAAAGCAAAGATTAAACAATATGTGTAAGAATCATGACATTACTGACATGATGGTTAAACTACGTACTGGCATAGAGTTGCATTTAGTTTTGGCACGTCGCCACTTCAGAATTTTCCCCAGAACCACTAAGTTGCTCGGAAAATAGCTGGAATGTTTGTTGATAAAGAAATTATTTGTGAGGAAAATAGTATGTGTCTATAATATAACTCTTGCGCATGCGCGTTGGGCATTGTGTGTTCCAAGCAGGTGCGAGGGGAAGAAGTTGTTCGCCAACAATTTGGTCGACAGGACTGCATAATCGGCGATATTTGGTGTTTAAGGACATTTGGTTTGCTACGTCCCTGCGTCCCTTTCCGCACGCAGTTGTAATATTACTTTTGAAGGTGTATTGTTTATTTACGTTTGTACGATGTCGACACGCACTACGTCCGCCAGGGGGCGCTAGACGTGTATCGTCATTGCGTCGTCTGTTAAAAACAGCTGAGAGATCTCTAGCATATGTCATAAGCAGTATTTCCAGACTGTGGGGATGTGACAGTTTGATAGCTGTGCACAGGAGGAAACAATAATAGTCAAAATGAGCGTGGAAGTCAAAACCCCGACAAAGTCACAGTTTAAAATCGAAGGATTCCAATGTGGAGAACGATTAAAACCGGGAGATAGCAGCGACGAGAAGTTACAGAAAGAGTCGAAGACTAAAGTTGGCAAAGATGTGTCTTTTCAAGATAAAAATGGAGAAAAACAGCACAGGAATTCCTTTTCCAGGGCAGACAAACCGAAAGAAATTCAATACAGGAAAAGGCGTTATTCAATGCCCCAGAAGCTTGGTGAAGCAGCTCAAGGATCTCACATTTCATTTATGAAGAAAAGAAAATTTCTTATGGATGCAAAAGTTACTGGTAAAAAGATGACTTTACCAACAAAGTTTCTTTTGGGAGGGAATATTAATGATCCCCTCAACCTGAACAGTTTATATCATGATGAAGAAGGAAAAGTTTTGAATGAATCAACACCTGTTTCTTCACCCATACCCACACCATCACATCGGCAGAAAGTTGAAGTTGTCATTCCACCAAACATCACAGACCCATTGAATTTAAATGCTGATGATGATTCATTTATGAGTAGAATATGCAAGAAGAGGAAAAGAAGTTACAGACATAAGCGTAAAGAAAGTACATCTCATTCAACATCCACACCATTGTTGAAAGAGGGACCTGGGGAGAAGAAGAGGGAACTTTTGGGAAGCGTTGAAAATAGACATTGACACCAGCCACGATATTTGTGACGAATTGTCCAGTGGTGAACTGACTCTTGATATTCAAAGTGCTAATACCAACAAATGCAGCAATAAGATAGTATCTCCAGTTATCCCCCAAGCATCACCAAAAATCCGGAGGAGGAGGAAGACGATTAGTGAATCCTGTAATATTTCTGAGACAACTTTTGATGCATCTAGAGCATTATTCTGTACTAGTAGCCCTGAGCCAAAACTAACACCACCGAAGAAAACCAAAAGACAGTTCAGCAACCCAAAGAGTTCTAGTTTTTCTAAAACAAAAAGCCCGGTGAAGTTTGCAAAAAAATCCCAAATTCATCTATGGCAATTACAATAGGTACTACGGCTACAGGAATCCAAGTGCTGAACAAGATCACCGGATGATCAATTTTGAATCGGAGTGGTTTGAGACAAAGGATGTGTTGGACATTGGTTGCAATGTGGGACATTTGACTTTAGCCATAGCCAGAGATTATCATCCAAGAAAGATCATTGGTATGGACATTGATGCTAATCTGATCAAAATTGCAAGGAAGAACATCCGCTACTATTTGGCTTCCTGTTCCACTGACACAACAAAGTTTGCAACATCAAGCTCGGTGAACTATGGACCAATGGCAGCTCCTCCGCTTGGAAAGGAACATGAATTTCCACAATTTCCTAATAATCTGATGTTTATGCAGGTATGTTGAGTGTTCTTTTACTGAAAATAAACATAAATGTGTTTGCATGTGATTTACTTTGATCACTGTTTCACTGACGTAGACTGCAAGGTTTAATTTCATACTTGTCACTGATCGCTGCGGTATACTAAAATTCCTCGTAAAATCTGATATTCCTTGAAAATTAACAGGATCGGGTGGTCAGACTTGCTGACTTGGTTGACACGTCATCATATCCCAATTGCGAGGATTGATGCTCATGCTGTTGATCACTGGATTGTCTGGTCCAGACATTATTATTTACAGACCGCTGCTTTATTGCTGGAATATTGCTTGAGTATTGCTGAACGCAGTGTTAAACAACAAACCTCTAAATCTGTTTATGCTTTAAAAAAATAGGTGGTCATGGAAGACTATGATTTTGACTACTTAAGCAAAATAATTCATTTTTAAGTTCATATGAATTCTATTTTCTTCTTGTAAAATTTTCACTGAACAAGTGGAATAACAGTTTCATTTCTTTTTTCAGGGAAACATAGTGCTTGAAAGTGATGAGATGTTGGAGTTCCAGGAAGAAGAATATGATCTGGTCCTTGCTCTCAGCATCACAAAATGGATTCATCTAAACTGGGGCGATGATGGATTGAAGCGTGCATTCAAGAGAATATTCAAGCTGCTGAGACCTGGAGGCAAGCTCATCCTGGAGCCCCAGGCTTGGGCTTCCTACAAGAAAAGGAAGAAGCTGAACGTAATGATAATAATTATCATGATCATAATGAAAACAAAAATAATAGTGATTTGTTAGTAATAACGATAATGAAAATAATGCTACAAATATATGCTTGTTGGCTAGGTTGATGGATGACATTGCTCTCTCTATCAGTCACTGGTTCATCTGGACCAGATTCATCATATTCAATTATTTACAGGCCACCATTCATATTGCTTGAAAACACGAAAAACTTCAAACTTTGAAATTGTCTTTGGCATGGTATTTGAAAAGATATTCTAAAAAGTTCTTTCTAAGAATTTGGTAGAGATGTCCATTGGTTTGCTCAACATCAATTTCAGAATGAAGTAGAATGTTTGGGTTTAAGCACATTGTAAAAGACATCTGACTTAGTGAAGATTAAACAATCACAGTAGAAGCAATTAGTGTTCAAAATTCTAATTCACCCAGTCTGAGCCTGTTTGTTTTCGGGAATGTTTGTCATACTCAGTCAGTGGATAGTTAAACTATTGTCTGAGCTGGCATATTGAACTGAAATATAAGTAGGTTTGGTTGTGTGTCTAGTGGTTCAATTTGGACTTCAGGCTTTTTTTGTTCACTTTGTAGAATGCAATATAAATGGAACTTGTCAGAAATGCAGAGGTTTTATAGCAATTTCCGCTGTATACTGTTTACACTGAAATGAAATTAATACATGTTATAATGTTGATGTTTTTTTTTTCAGGAAACAATCTTCAAGAACTATCAGAACATAAAGCTGAGACCAGAGAACTTTCCAAATTACCTTCTAAAAGAGGTTGGATTTTCCAAGTGTGAAGTCATTGGAGTGCCTTTCAACAAATCAAAAGGTATATCACTCGATCATGCTGGACCCGTGAAGATCAGGGTTAGAATTGGTCTTCAGCAACCCATGCTTGTCATAGAGGCGATTAATGGGATCAGGTGGTCAGGCTCGCTGACACATGTCATTGTATTGCATTGCATAGATCGATACTCATGCTTTTGATCACTGGATTGTATGGTCCAGACAAACAATTATTTACAGTCTGCTGCCATATAGCTGGAATATTGCTGAGTACAGGGTTTTACACAGACTTTTAAAAATGGGAGTCATGGTGACTCACAATATTTATTTTGGGGGGTCATTTTCAATATTTGGGAGTCATGAAAATTTTAATATTTCTTTGTGTTAATCATTCTCAGTATGTAACTATGTATGTCACACCACCAAATGAAACTACAGCATAGTTCAATTCACACAGCCAGGATTACTGTCGCCTCTGAGTTCTCTGGAACAATCTGACAGCTCTTTAAAAGTAAAACTATCATCAAACAATATCAGTTTTTGCTTATCAAATCGATTTAATGAACTGAATTGTGAGGGCCACCTATAAAACTTGTGTCAAGCTTGACTCATATGATAGTATTTTGAGAGTCATTAACAAAATTGTTGTCAAATACGCAGGAATCACGCGTCATGTAAAACCGTGTGAGTACGGTGTTTAACAACAAACAAACAGTCTTGCTGTGAATTGACAGTAAATATCAAACATTTTCAATACATATGAGATATTAAAACATTTTTCTTGTTAATATTAATGCTGTTGCAGGGCTCGAAAAACTAAAAAATCCGCACTCGCCCTGTAGGGCAAGTAATATGAACTTTCCACTCGTCCTTCTAAAATTGTACTTTCCCTGTAGATCATGCATCACAATGAATATTAGTTTAATATATTTTATTTCAAAATGTTTGCTTGGAATAAAACTACTATAAACATTACTTACATTGCCATCTGTACAAACTCTTTGAGAAATTGAATTCGTTCACCATTTAAGATAGCTGAACTTCAAGGAAAAAGAAACGTTAATTTTGGGTCAGAAAACCTAGTCGTCCTCTAGGACGAGCAAATTATGTTTTTCACTTGCCCGAAACAAATTTTACTTGTCAATACGAGCGGACGAGTGGTATTTTCGAGCCCTGTATTGTCAGTGCTGACAGTGATAGTATTTATACAGCATTAAGCCCATTTTACTCGGGGTTAATATATGAATAAAGATGAAAAGTCATCCCTAAATATCTCGGTGATATATGGGTCCGTTTCTTGTAAATCTACCTGTTTAGAATTATGAATATACATCTATATGTATGACTCTTGGAAGAATTGATAGTAATGGCTAATCTGTTTCAAATTATCTTCCCTTCACTAACCCACCAGTTGTGCTGATCCAAACTGTTCATTTTACGAATAAATTACCAATATATCCAGCATGGCGGGTAGCTGATGCAGTACGCAAAATTTGTCGGTCTTGTATGCAATCGTGGATTGCATCCATTGGATATACGAGAAACCTCATTTTGGGTTCCAATCTAAGCTTTCAAGCACCATGTCTATTGCTTGTTGACATAATAGAATGTTGACTACATATATAGATGGGCTGAAGTACCATGACAATATCGATGTTCATGTTAATCAAGTCAGACATAAGCTAACATTTGCAGCATACACACTTTAGGCCTAAAACAAAATGTTGTGGTTCCAATTACCCGACCGACCCTTGAATTCTGGTGCCAACCCTAGTTTTTTTAAGAGGTATGAGTAAAATAAGCTTTCAGATACCATTGTTTTTTCCCGGCGCCAACGGACGTCGGTCATTCTGACAGAGAAAGTCAACATGTTGGCCGCAAGCTTGGTTGAATAAACAATTACACATTGAAAAATGTGTTATTAGCTCGTACTGTACTCATAAGATAGAAAGGGGCAGTGGGGTAACCTAGTGGTTAAGCGTTGGCTCGTCACGCCGAAGACCTGGGTTCGAATCCCCACATGGACACAATGTGTGAAGCCCATTTCTGGTGTACCCTGCCGTGATGTTGCTGGAATATTGCTAAAAGCGGCGTAAAACCAAACTCAGTCAGTCAGTCATAAGATAGAAATGTAAAAAAAATATATTCCTACCTACCTACCCTAAATTTTAAAGAGGTGTAATTGAAACCACAACATATTTTTTATTTGGCCTTATCTGGGATGGAAATCAGCACTAACCTTCTTCCAAAGACCACCTTTATGAAATAGCTATCTTAATCCTATATCATTACACTGAAGACCCGGGTTCGTATTCCTATGGGTACAATGTATAAAGCCCATTTCTGGTGTCCCCTGTCGTGATATTGATGCGAAATGTGGCTAAAAGTGGTGCACAACCATACTCAGTCAGTCACTCGATTCTCGAGTGGTATTTCAAACAATTTTGTTGGCTGTTGCTATTGGTTATCACTATTCTGGCAAGTAGCATGTTTTGTTACTGTATATATTTCATTCACGTGAGGGGCGGTGGGGTAGCCTTGTGGTTAAAGCGTTGGCTCGTCACGCCGAAGACCTGGGTTCGAACCCCTATATGGGTACAAAGTGTGAAGCCCATTATTGGTGCCCCCTGCCGTGATGTTGCTGGAATATTGCTAAAAGCAGCGTAAAACTAAACTCAGTCAGTCATTCACGTGAAACTGTTTTATTTCTTCAGGGTTCCGTCGACCTCTCCAGCTTTACACCAAAGCAGACACGTCAGGAAACACTCCTTACACAGACATTGATGAGAACAGCCAGAGTAGCAGGAACCATGTGTTAGCCCCAACACTGCACTCCGTGGTGTCCCCCCAGGTTGTGGACAGCCAGGATACACCAAGTGAGAAGAGCAAGGCAGCTAGTCCAGTTCAACTGGAATCAGAACAGAGCATCCCCCAAACCCCCCAGGCTATGGACAGCCAGGATACACCAAGTGAGAAGAGCAAGACAGCTAGTCCAGTTCAACTGGAATCAGAACAGAGTATCCCCCTAACCCCCCAGGCTATGGACAGCCAGGATACACCAAGTGAGAAAAGCAAGGCAGCTAGTCAAGTTCAACTGGAGTCGGGGCAGAGTGCTTGAAAGTCTGACTCCGCCAGTGGTCAACAGAGTGATGGTCTGTTGACCTCCGCCTGTGGTAAGATGGATGTGGCAACAAGTGAAGAGGGTACCCGCAAGGACACTGCCTCATAGACCATGAGAATTCACTGCAGACATTTTGAGATGTGAAGCTGATAAATACTCAGACAGTGAAGGCATTCTTTTTACTTACTGCACATCATGCTGTTTAGTATGTTTTTTAATCAACAGGTAGGATGAAAGACTTTGGAACAATGCCGTGCTGATTTGTACACATCTTTGAATGCGACAACCTTGACTTCTTGACTGAAGTATGTTGCAAGATGTGTGAAAGTCAGCTCTTGACTTCAGGTGTTTTGTCATTCATACTCTCCTCACAAAATAAAGCAACACAGGGCTATGTCAAAACCCCCAATTCTCTCACTTTCATATTTGTTTTTGGCTGTTCTTTTTGTCTTGTTAAGGATGATGAAGGATTTTGGAGGTTTTTTCAGTCATTGGAGAGAAGCTTTCAGGTTATGTACACTCCAGTTTAAAAATAAGTTGATTAATATGCAGAAACGTTTCTTTGGTTAAGTATGTTGGTCTTATTACCAGCTGATTCCACCTTGACAAATATTTTTGAGCTCACCTGTAAAAGATTAATACAATTTTGCAACAGTTGTTAAGTGATCATGTCGAGGTTGTATTTTCTTCCCATCAGTGCATCATGTCCCCAATAATACCTTAATTATTGGTGTTTTGTTCATTAGTGAAAAAGTAAGAACCCCTAATCTATCTGGTTCCGCATTCAGCTTCCTTAAGAAATATTCTGTGTAGTATATGTTTACACATATATTCTGTTCTACACTGTGCTGAGTATTTTCTGGTACTTGGCTCAAGTGATAACAATCGGCCAGTTTGACTATTGATGGTACTAATGCTTTGTAACTTTGATATGTTGTCATACTGACTGTTGACTGTACATAATGAGCAAATACACAAATCTTTTCCAAACATGATTATATTGTCAGCCTTGTTTTTGTACAATATGACAGCGGTCTGTATAAAATTGAGTCTGGACCAGACAATCCAGTGATTGACATCATGAGCATCAGTCTGTGGATTTGGGAAACTGACCACCCAATCCTGTTAGTTGTGTCTTACAACAAGCATGGGTTATTGAAGATCAATTCTAACCTGGATCTTCACAAGTTTTCAGAATTGAGTTATAGAGGTGTAAAACTAATAATGGGTCAAATATCTGCAGGCAATTTGTGTTCCCTTAAGACTATTGGTTGTGGTTTTGAATATGGTACACCTGACCTGGTTTGTCAGCACAGGTCCCATGCTAAGGGTTTCACCAAAGTGATTATTTTAAACATGTGAGACCTGCATAACTTAAGGCATTCTTCCGAGATAAATCAAATCGTTTCACAAATCGATCGTAGCCCTGCAATTGTGGTAAGCATAGGCATGGGAACTCCTCCCCCCCAAAAAAGGGGGGAGGGTGTGTTTGAACCCCCTGAACCCCAGTCGGCTCAACCAATGCAAAACAACTTCAATGTGGTCTTTAGTCATTTTCAAAAAAAAGAAAAAAAAGGGTTTGTGTGTGTTCAAACCCCCTGAACGAAGACACTAAGGGAGTTATGATCACTTCAGCACTACGATCGCTTGGGGAACAATCTCAACTCCCTGGGGATCATACAACTCTTGCAGCCACTAGGCGCACCGAGTTAGTGTGGCATTCCCATCCAGGCTACGAGGTACCCATTCACAGCTGGGTGGACTGGGACACATAGTCACAGTACTTTGTCCAGCTTAACTGCACGTTGCTGTACCCGCAACTAGGTGTTTGCACGTATTCATGTGGCCACCACCTGGTCATATACCAACGGATTCGTGGGTTCTTTTAAGTGCACAGGGGTGTGTACTGTATACTAGGGGTTGTGACAACAATGAAAGAGTCTGCACACAAAGTTGACTCCAAGGTTTTTACACCCGGTCACAGGTGGGCTCGATCCGGTCACCTCAAGCTCGCTGGATCACTAGCCAGGCGCTTTAGCCAGTTCGCCCAACACGCAGCGGTAGATTAAAGGAATGTGTAATGCCAGTCAGCATGATAATTTCTACATCAAGGGTTTGACCACCTGTTGATCCGGGTAAGAACTGATCTTCAGTAGCCGATCTTGCCCTTAAAGGTGACACTGACTAACGGATCAGGTTGTCGGTCTCCTTCACTTGGTTGACACATGTCATTGTATCCCAATTTGCCTAGATTGGTGCTCATGCTGTTGATCACTGGATTGTCTGGTCCAGACTCGATTATTTACAGACCGCCATCATATTGCTGAGTGCGTATAAAACTAAACTCACTCACTACTTTTTGGGACATTCCAACCAGGCTGTCAGTGGGTATCGTGATGATTTTATGAGCGCTTTCACTGACAATTTTTACATATTAGTGGATTAACTAGTCAGCAATATAACATCTACGCCAGGTTGACAACATGAGCAGCGTTCAACGATCCTTGGGTATGAAGGCCAGTGGCAAAATACCCATCCATAGTTCTCATTTTAGTGTACAAGCTTATTAAGGATTTCACAGGTGTCTGTATAGATGTCAGGAAATCCCATCTTTTATGTGGTCACCGAACAAAACGTTAAACTAATGGTGTTAACTGTCTGTCACAAAGGCACATCAACCAGGTCTCAGTCAGGTATATGTACCCATAACATTTGTCAGAGGTGAGCACCCAATACACTTTCCACAGTAGTGCAGTAAATGGACAAACAGCGGTCGAACTTCCATTTTACGGAACCGTGAAGATCCGGGGAAGAATTGGTCTTTTTCTTGTCTTTTTTCTTTTTTTTATTGTTCCCAATACGTTGAATACAACAAGCATACAGAGGAATATGTGTACATGTTTTGGTTAAATAGTTATTCAGGATTAAATTCTGGGGTGAGAGGAAACCATTTGGCTAAAAAGCTTTCAAAATTAGTATTTCTTCTGGAACTGAATTTTTCAGTGGTGAATATGTCTTTCAATATCCTAAAGTAATTAGCAAGGAGCAAGTGTAAATATACCTCTTAGCAGAGAAGATTATGTGATTCAGTAATTGGTTCTTATCTAAAAGCCAAACCAGATCAAAGTTTTTGTCAAATTAAGTGTTTGGATATCGTAATCCACTGTTCAAGTTTCTTCCAGAAAGTTTTGGTTTCATCACATTCCCAATATACATGGCATAAGGTCTCACCAGAAAAATTACAAAAAGAACATATTGTATTGTCAGCAAGATTCATTATAGAAAGTTCTTTTTTGGTATAAACATTTCCGTGCAGAAATTAATATTGAAAATCTAACAGTTTGACATCTCTTAAATTCTTTCTGCAAATATCAAATATCATATGTCAATCAAACTCAATACAATCAAATAATGTTTCCCATTTTTGGCACATATGAGGTTTAACATTTGCAGATAACAATGTATTATAGAATAATCTTGAACCTTTTCTTGGGGATATGAAATCCTTTTGGAGAGAATTTGTACCGAGTTCATTGATGTTTATGTATCCATATTCCTTTATAGTCTTTTTCCAAGGTTCAGGTAATATGTGTATAAGATCTAACTGTGTACCTCTTATATCAATTTTAAGCTTCAAATAATCAAAGGATATAAACCCATGTTCATCACAATGATCTTTCATTGCCAATATTCCACTTTTAGCTCAGTGTCTAATAATGTGATTTTCGGTTTTGAAATTATCATTCAGTCATAAAGGTTGGGATAAGATTTCATTAATGTTCTCTACTTCTATAGTATTTTTGATGCAATGTAATTTCTATGCCTTTAAAACTTCTTTCCAAAAAAGGATTATCAACTGCAAGTATATTCTGAAAATGTGCTCCATAGTTTAGCATATCCTTAAAAGGAAAGTTTCATGGGTTACCGGTATTTGTTGTTTTTTTAAAATATAGTTTGAGTGTAGATAATTTCATAGCGTTAACAAAGGTCTTCATATCAATCATGCATAGACCCCCCATTTTGTAATCTTTTTTGAAAGTGCTCCGTTTGATTTTGTCATTTTTGTCATTCCAGATGAGTTAAAAAAATATTCTCTCAAGCGCGGTGATAAAATCCTCAGGAGGGTTAGGTAAAGTGTTAAAAAATATGAACAAATTTTGGAAGAGTCAATGTCTTAATAACCGTGATTTTGCCTATCAAAGTCAAATGTGTTTTTCTCCAAGTTACCAGTCATCTATTAATTTCTTCCAGTCTCTTCTTAGTGTTAATAACCCATAAATCATTCAAATCCGGAGTAAATTTAATTCCCAATACTTCAAATTGTTTTCTTTGCCATTCTATATTCAAATCTTGACAAAGTATATCTCTGCTACCAGCTTTTGAGCCTATCCAGATTGCTTTAGTCTTATCTGTGTTTATCTTTACTCCTGACATATTGTGAAATGTATTAAGTGTGTCTATAGGAGAGTACAAGTTTTCATCTGAGCCATCCAAAAATAATTCAGTATCATCTGCATATTGACCTAATTTGTATTTCTGATCATCAATTACAACACCCTTTATAGTTTCATGATGTCTTATCATACATCCTTGGATTTCAGCACCAAAAAGAAATAGATATGGAGATATGGGATCCCCTTGCCTACAGCCCCGTTGATTTGGGAATATATCAGAGCGATGTCTCTTCTGAATAACACAAGAAGATGTATCATGAGTTAAGACATTAATCCAACGTATACTCTTTGGACCAAAACCAAATTTTACTAGGACAGAATTGATAAAATCTTTGAAAACTGTGTCAAATGCTTTTTTCGAAATCAATCAACATTAGTAAATCTGGCATGTCTTTTTTCTTAGTTTCAAACATAATATCACATAATAACCGTGTATTTTCACTAATGTTCTGCCAGGTATAACTCCAGTCTGGTTATTATGTATCAGATAATCAAGGGTAGTTTTTAACCGATTTGAGATACATGCACTTAACAAAGCATTTAACAAAGTAATTGGTCCCCCGTTCTTCAATAAGGTCCTATTTTTATTAGCTATAAGTATACAAGTGATAACTCCTCTCTTCATGGTAAGAGACATCTTATTTTAACATCTTTGATAAATCTAAAAATATAGAATTGGTCTTCAGTAACCCATGCTTGTCGTGAGAGGCGACTAACGGGATCTGGGGGTCAGGCTCGCTGACTTGGTTGACACATGTCATCGTATCCCAATTGTGTAAGTCGATGCTCATGCATAGCTAGAATATTGCTGAGTGCGGCGTAAAACTGAACTCACTCGCTCCATCTTACGGAAGCCTTTGAAGCGTAGACCCCTGTGCGAATCCCGGATGTAAACCAAACCAAAATACTGGAATGTGTATTTTACTTAGAAAGTGAAATATAAAGAGTGAGTGAGTATGGTTTCGCCGCTTTTAGCAATATTCCAGCAATATCACGGCGGGGGACACCAGGAATGGGCTTCACACATTGTACCCATAATATAAAAGAAAACATGTTATACATATGTTTGAAATAAAATACAGTTGTTGACCATTCTGGGTGCAGCTGGATGAGGAGGGAAAAAAATCGAGGCATTGCATTTTATACAAGATTGTCCATGTGCACACACGCCCTACGGCAATCAGTTAGAAGAAGTATAACCTAGTGCTTAGTATACTTCTCAATATCTTTTATTATAAACGATGTGATAATTTCAGTAGTAGTTTTTCAGTGTTTAATGTTTCACCAATTAACCATGTAACGTTCCCTTCACCAATATAGCATTGTCTCCTTTGATCGGAAAACCAAAAGTTGATTAACCCCAGTCGTTTACGTTTATTCAAATAAAACAAAGCATTCAGTTATTTTCAAAGGAGCGAAGTTGCAGGCTTGGGCTGCATGTGAAGTGTTCTTTACACCCGTGAAGATCCGGGTTAGGCTTGGTTTTCTTCCGAATTGCGTAGATTGATGCTCATGCTGTTGATTACTGGATTGTCTGGTCC